GGCACCGTGCCCCCGGACCGAGGGTATTGATTCTGACGAATGCTGGCTGCATCCTTGGGCCGAGATACAAGGGGGTGGGTGTTACGAATGAGAGGCAAATATAGGGTGGGTAGGTATGAAGTAGGGGTACAAGAAGATGATATCTGCAGAGGCAGATGGGGTCATGATGAAAGTGATGGGGTGGATACAATCTCCTGAGGGTGGGACCCCGGAGAAGTTTGTTGACGATGCTGCTTAGGTAGAGTTGCGGTAGCAGCAGCAGCAGCAGCAGCAGCAGCAGCGAGGGAGAGAGAGGAAGAGAATGAGAGTAGGGTGGAGAGCAAGGGGTTGGGGGGTGGGTCAAGAGCATGGAATATGCAAGCACAGGGGGAAAAGGGGGGCAAGTAAAGACAGGAAAATGCGCCCTGTGAGGAACAAGGGGGAGGGTGAAGCGACTGAAAGGGCAGGGGTTGGGGGGTTGGCGGGGAACAGAGGAAGTTTTGATGTACTTGCTAGTCATGCATTGATTGATCTGCTCAGAACACTTGCACTGCAAGCACAGGAACTCTCCAAGCATGTGGTTGGCATGTCTGGTGACAGGTCTGTTGCCTCCGCCTGCTGCGCGAATCTAATCGCTTGTGCAGCTGCGCTGCTGCCAACACTCATCCTGGTGTCCCCCGTGACGACACTGCTGTGCAGGCGGCTCTTGAAGAGAGCGAGGATAGATGGCGACGTGAGGCTGTGTTTCTCTGCCTCTTCAACTGTATGACCTGGGTTTTCACGCCTCAGGTTGAGTCGGCTAGTGTATGGCTCTCGTGGCCAGCAACTCTCAACGTGGCAGTTAAGTCACTGACCGTCAGGAATCCTGTATGAGACCATGATCGCGTTCCGCGCTGCGATGATCGCTTCTAAAACATGCGCCACCCCAGGATGGGTTCCATCATGAGAACCTGGCGATGTTGGGGTCGTTCTTCTGTTCGATCAAGCTCTTCTCCATCTTGAGGAAGTGTGTGAAGATGGAAAAGATACTGGTGATCGATGAATGTGTCCACCGAGGTTCCATCCTGACTGAGTTTTGTTTGCCGGCAACAAGATCGAACAACCCAGGCTGTGGGTCGAAAGGAAGGAGAAGAGGGGTCTCAACCTGTCGGTCTTTGTCAGCAAGATGAAGAACAAGGAGGTGTGTTGGACTTCGTCATGCTGCCCCTGCCGTCATCGTGACTCGCAGGTTGAAGAAGTCAGCGAGGAGGAGGAGAACGCGCAGGCTGATCTGCTGCTGTCGCTGCTCGGGTTGGTTCCAGAAACAGCAGAGGCATTCATTGGAAACGTCACGCAAGCTATCAACGCCTCAGATGGGATTGCAGACCTTGCCTTCTCCACCGGGCAGAACCTTGCAGACAAGACCAAGAACGTGTTGGAGCTCGGGTTAGACTTTGTGAAGAACAAGGCTACCGAGGTACACCAGGACATCTCCTCTGCCGGAGGGATCGACAAGTGGGCCGTTGACGGCGTGAAGAAGCTCTCGAGTCAAGTGCGCGAAACTGCACAGGGAGCGACAGAAGCTGCGAACAACCAAGGGATCCACGGGGTGACTTCTTACCTTAGGACGGAAGTGAGCAAGACGGCAACCAACCTGACGGACCAGGCTGAGGATGCGATCCTGTACGAGTTGCTGCACAGGAAGGTGGCCGGGTGCTACGAGGAGGAGAAGAAGACCAAGTATGTACAAGTGACCCAGTTCGAGATCGTCGGCCTCGAGATCGACGCGGATCTCATGCTGGATGCGAAGCAGCAGAAGGTGGGCAAGCTGGTGGGGGCGAGCATCCGGCTGCTGTCCGAGGACCTGGTGCCACATCCCAACGCCGCCTTTCAGAAGGGGCTGCCGGTCGAGGAGTTCAAGCGAAGAGTTCTTGTCATCATCAACCACGAGATGCGAAGGGAGAACTCCTCCAAGATCATCAAGTTGGCCAGCAGCGGGCTGAAGCAGTCCGTCGCTGTCCCCGGTTGGATGCTGCCGAAGGCAAAGCAGAGCGCCATGGACTACATCGATGGGTTTGCTACTGGCCTGACAGGGATGGTGAAGGACGCGGGCTCTTCCTCAGCGAAATCCTCGCAAGAAAAGGGCCAGAACTTGAGCTCGAGCAACACCAGCACGAGCAGCAAGGAGAAGCAAGAAACTCAGGGTGAGGAGAAAGGCATGCAGAAGCTGGGACCTGGCAGCAGAGAACAGGAAACAGGCAATGCCTCGTGCTCTCCTCTGATCTTGAAAGTTACGATTCGATCTGATTGCTCTGATGCCCCCCAGGTGACAAGGCTGCGCAAGATCAGCCTGCCCCTCCCGTCACGGGAGAACACTCGACTCTCCCTGACGCAGAGGCTTCGTTGTGTGCAGATCCCTCGCAGCTATCGAACGCGAGCGAGGAAAGGGAAGCAGAGGGTCTAGGAGGCACCGCAGTCCCAGGGATAAAGGCAGACAGGCCTCAAGGATCCTCCCCGCGCCCTGCAGCACATGCGACAGCCCAGGGCTCTTCCAGTCCCTCCGGGGTAGTGGAGGAGCCCAAGGACGAGGGTGCACGAGGGAAGCAGGCAGTAGAGACTGCTGGTGAGTCACAGACTGTCTGCGTTGTAGCTGTTCATTGAGGCTCATTCGGTCCCTTGTACGCTTTGCAGGCAAGAAAGTCGATGCAGAAGCGAGTCAGGGAAGCGCTGGAGATCAACTTGGAAGTGGTTCTGGCAAGAGCGAAGAGGGCAAGAGGAATGACAGGAATGGTCTGGCAGGCGAAGTTCCGAGTCAAGTCGTCAAGCCAGTAAGACGCGCTCGGATGGGTTTGCATCCGAAGGTCTAAGTTGATGTACAGGGAGGTGCTGACAAAGCTGGCGGGCCGAGCAAAGCAGTGAGTGATCGTTTTGATGCGGTTGTGGGTGAAATCGATACATTTATCACTCAGGGTGTAAGCGATCAGGCAAAGTTAACGTCCTCGAACAAGAATACGAGCGTGAGACGGAAACTCGTTGCTGTGTTGTAGCTTCTGATGTTTGTAGCAGGCTGGCAAGAGAGAGAAAAAGGCGGGACCGATGCAGGTCTGCCTGCAAGATCCTCTTGTTCCCACCTTCCTACACTCATGATTCTTGCCAGCTTGCAGAACTTCCAGACACGCTTGCAAAACTTTCTGAGAGGTTCGCAATGTGGATATGACCCACACGATGATCGAGAATGATCGAGAATGATGATGATGATAATGATGATGATGACGACGATGATGATGATGACGACGACGACGACGATGCAAATGACGATGGAAATGATGATGGAAATTATGATGATGATGATGATGATGATGATGACGATGACGATGACGATGACGATGATGATGATGATGATGATGAAGATGAAGAGGAGGAGGAGGAGGAGGAGGAGGATGTGAGGACAGTGATGAAGATCATGGTGATAGTGATTATGATGATCTCATTGCTGGATTGATAGCCGTGATGATCGCTGAGTCGATGATGATATTGCAGCGCCATTGAAGATGCGGGGAAGACGATTCAAGGTGAGGGAGAGCTTGTGCTGCAGCTTGATGAGTGACCACTGCGGTGCAGGGGCTCTAGATGGATTCGGACAAGCTCTGGGCTCCCTGGGCTTCAAAGGTCAGAGCGGCTTCAAAGGTCAGAGCAGCCCACGGTCGTACTGACAGAATTCAACGCCTTAGATGATAGAGCCAGGAGGTGATGGCTTGGAGGGTAAGTAGATCAGCTCTTGGATATACAGAAGCGCTTCAAGCTTAGCTCTTCGAATTCGATGAGACATTTGATGCGTTGCCAAGGCTATTTAGGTCACAGATTGATGAGGCAGCGCTCAAACAATCAGGCTGGATTGTACTCAGTCATCAAAGGAAGGAAAAACAATACTGAGAAAATACTCGTCAAGACATGAGAAGAGTTGGTAGATTGGTGAAAACAGACTCATGATATGGGGACTGTTGCTTTTGGTCGTTTGATCTATTTTATGCACATGCGAAGCACGGCATGAAGTATCGTTTGTCCTCAACGAAACACATGATATCTGACTGCCTCATGCCCATCTCACAAACGCCTTCAATACTTGAAATCAGCGTATTGATCACTGTCTCCTCTCCTGCTCCTATCTCTAGAGCCCTGTGGGTCTCATCAAAGCTCTTGTCAATCTCAACCGTATCGTGATCGTCGTCTAAAATATCCGAGTCAAGATCTTCATTTTTGACCAGATAAGGCAAGAGTTGTTCGTTTGACAGAGCTGTAAGACATTCCTTGTAATCTGATTCTGAGTCGTCCTGACAAGTCCCCCAGATGGAGGATTGATGATTGTGCTGCTGCTCCCATGAACGCCCCTCAACACAGCCATGCCCTGCACAGCAATTCTCCTCAAACGACGTCGTTGAGCTCGGCGAGCTCCTCCCCGCCTCGTCCAGCCGCCGTCGCTTCCCCCCCTCCCCCCGCCTCCTCGTCACGCTCGGAAGCGGCCGCGACAGCCCCGCCTGGTACTCCGCCCAGCCCCCCCTGTACTCCTCGCACACCCTCACCACCCGCTCCAACGCACACTGCCCCGCGAAGATGGTCGAGCTTCCTGCCAGCTCCTCCCACGCCTCCCGCAGCGCCCGCATGTCCTCCTCGTCCCTCGGGTCCCTCCACCGCCTCCCCGCATACACGTACCGCACCTCCTCTGCCCCCGCGACGGACAAGCCCGACGGGCTCGAGGCCTCGCCCTTGGCCCTGGGCCGCTGGTGCCGGACCTTGAGGAAGCCGTCGCTCTCTACCACCTTGCAGAACTCGATCGCCCGCAGCCCGTACTTGCCCACGTACGGGTCTTGGTTGATCACCGACGACGGGCAGCAGGCGCTGAGCGCGTCGTAGAGGCTGTAGCGACCCGTACGGCAGACGGCCTGACGGGCAGGGCCGGAGGCGGGGGCCGGGGAGGTCACCTGGAGAGGAGGGGGGTGAGCGAGGGGCGGGGGGAGGAGGGAGAGGGGGGTACCATGTGAGCGAAGGCGAGGGCGATGCGCTTGTTCTCGAAGCAGGCAGAGGGGCGGACCATGGAGAGGAGAGGGAGTTGGAGTCTGCGACCAAAGACTGGAGGGGATTGATATCTTTGGTGGCCGGATTGAGTTGGGGGGGGGAGGGGTAGTAGGGATGTTTCGTTTTACTGAGGGGTATCAGCGGGGAATCCCGTTGCCCTCGGGATATATCTAGGGGTCGTAAGAAGGTTTGTAGGAAGGTGCTAGGATCAAGTCATATGTCCGTCACTACCATTCCTTTCCGACTCGAAAAGAAGTCTTTTGGAGGTAAAACACAGCCTCCCTAAAAAGTAGTAAACCGGACAGACGTTGGAGATGTACCCCCTATATTCAGCCTAATCAGGGGGGTCCACGTACGAAAGTAACCTGACTTTGTTGACTGGCTAGGAACCTATCACCCGGCGTTGCCCGACTTGTGAGTTGATATGTGCCACCACAACACAAAATGGTGGCAATCGTTCATAGAGCAGTTCAGGCAATGAGCTACATCTGCCGTCTTCTGCTGACAGAGTAGAGCTTTCACATGAAGCTCTGTCGTCTCTCTGTCTTCCTAGCAAGCACACTACAAAGTTAGTGTCGGCTGCCGGCAAACTGACATGGGTTATTTTAACATCCCCTTCATTCTCACTCTATCACCCGCTCACATACCTGCATCACTTCATACCATAGCTATAAAGCGTTCTCCCTACCGCAAACAATGCACCCTGCCTCGCAATGCGCTCCAACACAATCAACACCGTCGTCATGCGATACGATTGTAAGAAGGTCAGACTCCGCGATCCCTGCTTCCAGCCACTTCTCGATGCTCCTCAACATGTCTGCCGAGCTTGAATGACCATCGTCAAAATGAGCGGACGAGGGGCCTAAGTCATGAACATCCGACATTTCTGTGCGGAGTCGCTCTCCGATCGGTTCACCTGCGGTTGACAGCCAGTATATCGGAGTCATAGGATATTCCATGAGATGAGACAGGAACTTGCGTGGAAAGTAGGGGTAACCCTTGAGTGCTCAAAGGAAGAAAAGAGTTCAGCTGATCCCAGTTCTTCTCTTCCCCCTCCTCTGACGACGTCGTTGAGCTCGGCGAGCTCCTCCCCGCCTCGTCCAGCCGCCGTCGCTTCCCCCCCTCCCCCTGCTTTCTCGTCACACTCGGTAGCGGCCGCGACAGCCCCGCCTGGTACTCCGCCCAGCCCCCCCTGTACAGTGCTCCTCGCACACCCTCATCACCCGCTCCAACGCACACTGCCCCGCGAAGATGGTTGAGCTCCCTGAGCGAGGGGCGGGGGGAGGAGGGAGAGGGAGAGGTACCATGTGAGCGAAGGCGAGGGCGATGCGCTTGTTCTCGAAGGAGGCAGAGGGGTGAACAATCCTTGGGCTGAAAGGAGGAGGAAGAGGCTGTTTCTTGCAAGGATGTGACTGGTCTAGCTTGTCTCGCAGGGTGCAGCAGCGAGTGCGTAAGTGAAGTAGTGACGGGGGATGACTCGACTCTACTTTGAGTAAATCAGTTTTGACCCATGCTCGACTAGCTCGAGACAGGTGACCTTTTGGCCCGCCTCCCTTGGCCAAGCATGTACTCGAGTGTACAGCTGCTTCAGAGCAAGAAAAGCTTGTAGCGGCAAGAGCATGCTGGATACTGGAAGTGATATCACAGTGACATCACAGTGCAGGTGGTTGAACAATCAGAGGAGGGAGTGACGCTGGCATGGCAGAACAAAGACGATCGCAGTGCTCAATACATACGCAAGATAAGAGAGAGAGGCCATGAATCATGGGGGCGCAGAGGAAGAGGTGTTTGACTTTGGGATTCAATAAATCCACCAGCACCAGGATCCACGAACTTAGGGGCCATTACGCTGATGTCCTCCTCATTGATCCCCAGATCAAATATCTCCTCAATACTAGAGATCAAGCCAACTGGTCGCAGATTTTGACCTTCAATGCCTGACCGCGCCAAAACTTCTTCCGAAGCGCATTTATCACGCTTTCCCCCAACCGCTTCTTCTGTCCATTCATCCATCCATTCGCCGGAGAGTCTGACGTCTTCCTCTTCATGTCTGACAGCCTCCACCTCGTCCTCCCCACCATGCACCCCCCTGCCCAGCTCTGCTCCTTCTGCACCTCCATACCCCTGTACACCCTGTCCAACGCCGTGCCCACAATGTGACAAGACCCCTTCCTCCTCCCCCTCAGACGTTGATGAAAACAAAGGCGATGACGTTGAGCTCCCCGCCTCGTCCAGCCGCCGTCGCTTCCCCCCCTCCCCCCGCCTCCTCGTCACGCTCGGAAGCGGCCGCGACAGCCCCGCCTGGTACTCTGCCCAGCCCCCCCTGTACTCCCCGCACACCCTCACCACCCGCTCCAACGCACACTGCCCCGCGAAGATGGTCGAGCTCCCTGCCAGCTCCTCCCACGCCTCCCGCAGCGCCCGCATGTCCTCCTCGTCCCTCGGGTCCCTCCACCGCCTCCCCGCATACACGTACCGCACCTCCTCTGCCCCCGCATCGGACAAGCCCTGGTGCCGGACCTTGAGGAAGCCGTCGCTCTCTACCACCTTGCAGAACTCGATCGCCCGCAGCCCGTACTTGCCCACGTACGGGTCTTGGTTGATCACCGACGACGGGCAGCAGGCGCTGAGCGCGTCGTAGAGGCTGTAGCGACCCGTACGGCAGACGGCCTGACGGGCAGGGCCGGAGGCGGGAGCCGGGGAGGTCACCTGGAGAGGAAGGGGGTAAGCGAGGGGCGGGGAGAGGAGGGAGAGGGAGAGGTACCATGTGAGCGAAGGCGAGGGCGATGCGCTTGTTCTCGAAGGAGGCAGAGGGGCGGACCATGGAGAGGAGAGGGAGTTCGAGTCTGCGACCAAAGACTGGAGGGGGAGTAGAAAAGGGTCGTTTTACTGAGGGGTCTCAGCGGGGAATCCCGTTGCCCTCGGGACATATCTAGGGGTCATAGGAAAGGTCATAGGGAGGTGCTAGGATCAAGTCATACGTCGTCATTACTACTCCCTTTCCGACTCGAAAAAAAGTCTTTTGAAGGTAAACAAAAGGATTCTGATAAAAAAGTAGTAAACCGGACGGAGTCCTCATGACGTCGGAGATGTACCCCCTGTATTCAGCCTAATCAAGGGGGTCCACGTACGGAGGTAACTTGACTGTGTTGCCTCAGGTGTTGCTGCAGGTCTGTGCAGGTGTTGCCTGGCTCGGAAGCTATCTGTAGCACCCGGCGTTGCCCGACTTGTGAGTTGATATGTGCCACCACAACTAGAGCAATTCAGGCAATGAGCTACATCTGCCGTCTTCTGCTGAGCGAGTAGAACTTTCACATGAAGCTCTGTGATCTCTCTGCCCTCCTAGCAAGCGCACTACAAGTTAGAGTCGGCTGCCGGCAAACTTCAATGGGTTACAACCATGAGTACCAGTCTCACACTAGTTATGCAAAGAAGGCTGCCATTGGTCTAACCAAGCCTTAGAAGTGCCCTCAACCTGCACATGATGCCTTGTACACTGTTGATGTGTATTTATTCAAAACGACAGGCTACTTCTGGCGCCAAAACACCTTCCAACATAACTTGTCCTACAACTGTGGCAAAACAGTTCTCCTCCGCGATGCTGAGAACGCCAGTTCACATCCTCTTCATTCTCACTCCCTCAACCGCTTACATGCCTGCAGTCCTCACTTCACACCATAGCTATAAAGCGTTCTCCCTACCGCAAACACTGCACCCTGCCTCGCAATGCGCTCCAACACAATCAACACCGTCGTCCTGCGATGCGATCCCAAGAACGTCTGACTCCGCGATCCCTGCTTCCAGCCACTTCTCGATGCTCCTCAATATGTCTGCCGAGCTTGAATGACCACCGTCGACATGAGCAGACGAGGGGCCTAAGTCATGAACATCCGACATTTCCGTGCGGAATCGCTCTCCGATCGGTTCACCTGCAGTTGACAGCCAGTCTATCGGAGTCAACGATCATTTAAAGCCTGACCTTACGGTGATGTTAACTGACTCTATACAAGCATTATGGTTCCAGAAACAATAGGACATTCCATGAGATGAGACAGGAATTTGCGTGGAAAGTAGGGGTAACCCTTAAAGGCTCAAAGCAAAAAAAAGAGTTCAGCTGATCCCAGTTCTTCTCTTCCCCCTCCTCTGACGACGTCGTTAAGCTCGGCGAGCTCCTCCCCGCCTCGTCCAGCCGCCGTCGCTTCCCCCCCTCCCCCCGCCTCCTCGTCACGCTCGGAAGCGGCCGCGACAGCCCCGCCTGGTACTCCGCCCAGCCCCCCCTGTACTCCTCGCACACCCTCACCACCCGCTCCAACGCACACTGCCCCGCAAAGATGGTCGAGCTCCCTGAGCGAGGGGCGGGGGGAGGAGGGAGAGGGGCGTACCATGTTGTGAGCGAAGGCGAGGGCGATGCGCTTGTTCTCGAAGGAGGCAGAGGGGCGAACAATCCTTGGGCTGAAAGGAGGAGGTAGAGGCAGTTTTTTGCAAGGATGTGACTGGTCTTGCTTGTCTCGCAGGGTGCAGGAGCGAGTCCGTACGTGAAGTGGTGACGAGGGATGACTCGACTCAACTTTGAGTAAATCAGTTTTGAACCATGCTCGACTAGCTCGAGAGAGGTGACCTCTGGGCCAACCTCCCTTGCAAGCATGTACTCGAGTGTACAGCTACGTCAGAGCAAGAAAAGCTTGTAGCGGCAATAGCATGCTGGATACTTGAAGAGATATCACAGTGACATCCCAGTACAGGTGGTTGAACGATCGGAGGAGGGAGGGACGCTGGCATGGCAGAACAAAGAGGAACGCACTGCTCAATACATACGCAAGATGAGAAAGAGAGGCCATGAATCATGGGGGCGCAGAGGAAGAGGTGTTTGACTTTGGGATTCAATAAATCCATCAGCACCAGGATCCACGGATTTAGGGGCCATTACGCTACGATACCGATGATGTCCTCCTCATTGATCCCCAGATCAAATATCTCCTCAATACTAGAAATCAAGCCAACTGGTCGCAGATTTTGACCTTCAATGCCTGACCGCACCAAAACTTCTTCCGAAGCGCATTCATCACGCTTTCCCCCAACCGCATCTTCTGTCCATTCATCCATCCATTCGCCGGAGAGTCTGACGTCTTCCTCTTCATGTCTGACAGCCTCCCCATCGTCTTCTCCACCATGAATCCCCCTGCCCAGCTCTGCTCCTTCTGCACCTCCATACCCCTGTCCAATGCCGTGCCCACAATGTGACAAGACCCCTTCCTCCTCCCCATCAGACGTTGATGAAAACAAAGGCGATGACGTTGATCTCCCCGCCTCGTCCAGCCGCCGTCGCTTCCCCCCCTCCCCCCGCCTCCTCGTCACGCTCGGAAGCGGCCGCGACAGCCCCGCCTGGTACTCTGCCCAGCCCCCCCTGTACTCCTCGCACACCCTCACCACCCGCTCCAACGCACACTGCCCCGCAAAGATGGTCGAGCTCCCTGCCAGCTCCTCCCACGCCTCCCTCAGCGCCCGCATGTCCTCCTTGTCCCTCGGGTCCCTCCACCGCCTCCCCGCGTACACGTACCGCACCTCCTCTGCCCCCGCGTCGGACAAGCCCGACGGGCTCGAGGCCTCGCCCTTGGCCCTGGGCCGCTGGTGCCGGACCTTGACGAAGCCGTCGCTCTCTACCACCTTGCAGAACTCGATCGCCCGCAGCCCGTACTTGCCCACGTACGGGTCTTGGTTGATCACCGACGACGGGCAGCAGGCGCTGAGCGCGTCGTAGAGGCTGTAGCGACCCGTACGGCAGACGGCCTGACGGGCAGGGCCGGAGGCGGGAGCCGGGGAGGTCACCTGGAGAGGAAGGGGGTGAGCGGGGTCGGGGGGAGGAGGGAGAGGGGGGTACCATGTGAGCGAAGGCGAGGGCGATGCGCTTGTTCTCAAGGGAGGCAGAGGGGCGGACCATGGGGAAAGCACTTACAAGTTTCTCGACACTGAAGAAGTTGAGTATCTTGGACGTTTGCTGTTGTCTGCAAGTCTCGTGGGGGCTTGCTCTGTCTTGCAGGGACCTGAGCCGCCTTGATGCCGTAGATGAGACGCAGGCGCAGTGAAAAAGGTTTCAGCCGCTAGGAAGCAACAATAATCCCTGCCAGGCTTGGATATATTGGACTGGATTTTTTCCCGGTCTTACCAGCTGAGGCTAGGAGATCGGCATATCCTAGGATCCGGTCCTATCGGTTGTTTCTTCCTAGCGGGTGACGCCGTCGAGGATTTTTGAAACCTCAATTATAAAGCTTCGGGAAACCCCGCTATGTCATCCGATCTGGTTTGTTTTTGAGTCGCTCCGAAGAGTTGCGAGTTCCCTCAAGCTCGGTCCGAACCGTTCTGGGTTGGTTCTCGCTCTTGCGGGCAACCAATGTTTTCAAGTCAACACATTTATAAGTCATTTATTTGAATCATTCATATATTACACAGCGAGATTTCTCAGTACAATTACCTCATAGTATTTGTACGATCACAACAATGACCTGATTATATAAACCATCCCACACTTATTACTATCGTATACAGAGGAGATCAGGGGTAATATGGCAGGTTAATAAGCGTTACCTTTTTTCAAAGTTTACTGAAAGTTAAGTTAAAAATAAGCACTCCGCAGATCGAGATACCTGCCGCCGGTGACGGTGGTGTACGGTCCGAAGTTCAGCGCGGCCTGCCAGTCACGAGTACGGTCAGCCCACTGTTGCCCAGGTTGGTCGATGCCGCTGTGCCATGATCGGGTGACCCGGTACGGTGACTGCGCTCAGTACCGTGGTGCCGCAGTGCTCCGGTGGCAGCCTGAGCGGCGCAGCCTGGCAATCACCTGGCACCTCGGGCCGGGGGCGGCCTGGGCCAGGCTCGCGCGGCCCCGGCTGAGTGAACTTCAGCCTGCCGGGAAGCATCTCGCCGGGCCCTGAGTCTCGAGTTTCGCAGCCGTTTCTTTGGAGGTCACGACTCGTGATAGGTCCAACAGAAATGGAAGTCACGGTAGCAAGTTGAGAGCGCGGAGGCTGCAAAGGACTGATGGCAGAAACAAAGAGGAGATCGTCAACGGCTTCTCTTGAGGGAACTTACCTGGCAGGGCTGAACCACAAAGAAGTGCAAGAAGAGATAGTGTTCGTGTTCGCCGAAGTACTGAAGAAGACAAGAGAGAAAAACTCGAGGCACCGAACTGATTCCGAGAGCAACACCAAACACAGGGAGACGGGAACTCTGGCGTCTATCTCCGATGACTGGGCTGAAGCGTGGAGCTATGCTCAGCCTTCTTCTTCATCGCACGAGCTATGGCTAGGTGGACTGATATGCAAGGATGAAGGGGATGATCAGGTAGAGCAGGTCAGGAGGTCTAACGGAGGTAGCATTCCCCCAGACAGAGTGACTCCCGCAGACAGCTACAGCGGGAAAGATTGCAAGTCACCTGATGAAGCTCATTCTAAGTCGGTTTTAAGGATGAAACAGGTGTCTTTTAAAGTGCGTAGAGACGAAGCACCAGAAGACAGTCAGCCTCTCAAGCTTACATCCCCCCGCAGCCATATCTTGGTGTCTCCACGTAAAGTGCAATATCATGTGCGAACAGAAGACGCCAAGGCCAAGGCAAACTCGCTTGAAAAAACCTGCTTGTACTCGTCCTTCTCTTCACTTCCGTCAGTTCATTCAGAGACCCCAGGCGTTTCCACACCAAGAAAACAGGAAAGTGCCATTCATCGTAGATCAGAACCAGCATCAATCAAGTATGACTGGAGCTCAGAGATCGCAAAAATTTGGTCAGCGCCTGACAGCGAGAAAGATGTCTTGTCGCCTCGTAGCTGCTTGCCTGCTACCGAGCCAGTTAGGCCATCGAGGAGCGACCGACCGAGATACTTTCAAACGGGCGAGACCCTTGTATCACGATGGAAGTCAATATCAAAGCTGCCCCATGATAAACGGATGGAGCAAGTCCTGACAAGTTGCCGCGGGAGGATCGCGTGAGGAACATCAAGAAGGATTCTTCTCGGACTATGTCCATTCAAGCGATGTTACGCAATACGTTTGACAGCAATAAAGCGTTTCCTTTCATGCACATGCAACAACAATGGATCACACCAGCTCGCTCATCTGCCATTTTCCGTGACACTCCTCCACAAGGGAGCGCCGTTGAAGATCCTTGAGGAGGGACAGGATCTCGTCCTCATCCATCTTGGTTCCGCAGGCGGGATGCTTCGCTTTCAGCCTGTCCTCACACATGCTTGCAATCGAAGCCAGGTCTTGGGGGCCAGCAGATCGGATGGAGTCGTAGACCAGCCTAGCCTTAGTGATGTGCTGAAGGAAAGCCTTGTCCCCTGCCATCCTGATGACGTTGAGGCCGCGAGCAGTGATTCTCCTCGCTAGGCCTCGAGAGCTCTGTAGCTCGTACGCGTTTCTTCTGGCGTTGAAGCGGAAGATAGCTCCAAGGATCCATGCGGTGGTGGTCACTAGCGCAGCAGCATCGGTGTAAGGATTGTCGAGCTTGATCTGAGCTAAGACCGATGCCAACGTCGTGAAAGTCACAAGATCCAGCCGCAAGCTGTCAAGAGGTCGGAATTGCAGCTGCCTGTCAGGCCAGATCGACTTGATGTTCTGAATATTTACAGATTGATATCCAATGAGTTCCAGCTCCAGTGTCGCCTCCTGCTCTTGCGAAACCTTCATCTCCTCTCGCTTGCTGTTCAGCATGACGATATTGATCCTTGACCTCGCAACGCTGACTAGCGCGAACGGCTCATTCACAGGAATCTTGAATTCGATACTCTTGGATGCCGGGCGGAACCTGTATAGCATTGCGATGAGGAGCCTGAGACAGCTGCTACTCCTCACATCTTTCACATCGATGGAGTACTCCGTGTACACGTGACTGTCATGCAAGCTCTCTTTCACATGAATTCGTCCTGTCCGACCTGGAACAAGCGGTCGGTCCGAGAGGAACGGCAGCTTCGGATCGATCGCATGTAGGGAGAGCAGTCTTACAAAGTAGACCAGGAAAGGCAACACTCCAACTCTGTACGATTGTTCCTCGCGCTGTTTCCTCGCGTACATGACAACAATACTCTCAAAGATCGGATCCTCTATGTACACAGGGCGCAGGAACGCACTGAGAAAAGCCTTCAGTCCTCCCTGATTCCCAACAGCGTCTACAGCCCCCTCATAGGCATTCTGAATGCCCTCCGCCAGCCCGACGAATCGAACGACGTCATAACAAGAAGGAGGAGACATCAGGCAAGGATGGAAGTCCGACAGAGGTCGAGTAGCTGGAGATGAGACCAGGCCCCATCGCTCGAGCAGCTTGACAGCCAGCTGAAGGAAGGTCTGCTCCGCTGACGACAGAGTTCCACCCAGGGTATCTTTTACCTTGTCTGGTGCTGACATGCCCATGATAGTCCGAACATCGTCAACCAGAGTCGACGACCCATCTCTCAGCATGCTTCTCGCTACCTCCATCTCCTCCCACACGCCTCGCACCGCTTGCAAGGCAGAGCGCCAGAGGGCGAGGAGAATGCTGCTCTGCAGGTAGTCCAGCTTCTGCAGGTAAAGCCCCCCCGATACCTCCTCCACTGCTACTCCTCTCCTCCATACCAAAATACGCGGAGATATGTATGCATGCGAGTCGTTGCGGGCCAGGAGGCGGAGGAAGGAGGACTCGTCGGTGACTATGTCGCTTCTCAGAACGCCCTGAGCAGACATGGCTTCGCTGATCGCAACGTCACGTTCCGACAGAGGCCTGTACCCTGCTTTCCTCAGCATCTCAGCGAATCTCCTGACAAACTTCTTCATCCGAGCTTGTCCTCCGTTACTGTCATGCATCCACCGCGCATCCCTGGCTGAGACCTCGTTCAGGAGCCTTTCAAGGCTCTTTTTCTCTTCGTGAGTCTCGAATAAGATCTCCCTGAGAACGCTGAAGCATCAGACGAGGAACAAGAGCGCACAGAGGCTACATACCGCTCTAGCAAGCAGAGACTCTCGTCCCCTTCGTCTCGCCCGCCATCGTCTAGCACTTTGCCGTCGGCCTCGAAGGCGATCTCGAAATTGTTCTGCTCAAAGTGCGACATGCCGGATAGCAGCGCCGTTAACTTGAGCTGGTGCCTCACCCCATGAGGACAGAGGAGAGGAGCTCGACTAGGGCTGGCACGAAGAGGACGGGGATAGTCGTGAGCATGAAGGGCAGGAGGTCCGAGAGCCTTCGGCGGAGAGAAGGAGCTGACGACTTGAGCCATCAGCCCCGCCATGAGGAGGAGAGGGATTGGGGAATTCAACCCTGATGCCCTCATTGATGCCGCTGCTGCCAGGAGATTGGGGCAACGGCTACAACAAGGAACCCGAGCAGATCAAGAGGCCAGGATCGATGCTCCCCCCGTTGATGTCTTGCTGTAATGTCTGTGGCCCTAGCACATCCTCCCCTGCCTCCTCCCCTGCTCCATCATGTCCTGCCATGACGCCGCCTCGCCTTTTCCTCGCTTCCCCCCGCCATCTTGGTTCCCTGCAGGTCCCTGACCATTTTTGGTGGCAGCGAATCTGGATCCTCCAAGCCACAAGCTCATATGAATTGCTGCCTTTCACCAAACTCTGAGGGGAACTTGAAGCTTTTAAAATGATCGAGATGCTAGCTAGCTTTTTTAGATCGGAAGTTAGCAGAGATAGAGAATGCAGGGAGTGGAGGAGCGAGGGAGATGACAGAAGGATTGAGAGAGGAGGAGGAGGAGGAGGAGAAGGAGGAGAAGGAGGAGAGCAGGAGGAGGAGGAGAATGTGTTTCGAATGTGTGAATAGACTGGGTAAGTGCATGCAGGAGGCAGGAAGGAGGAGCAATGGGGAAGGAGGAAGGAAGCAACGAATGAAACAAGGGTAGCAAGGGAGTCGATCATACGAAGTTTCGTAGGCTTGAAATGCGGGAAATGAAGATGAAGAAAGAAGGAGGGAGGGCGAGGCGAGGAAGGGGGGGGTCAAGGATAAAAAGGATAAGAGCAGTCAAGGGGGCGTGGGCAGGGGCTATGGCAATGTTTTATAGATTCGGACAAAGTTGGTGTAGACAGTCCGCGTGCAAACTTGATGGCGATGAAACAACAACATTGCTAACGGGTGATGCCCAGTTTGAATGGAGTCCTGGAGATGGTAAAGACAGCTGATTCCAACCCCTCAAGGTCCTGATCTAGTCGCAAGAAGCCCGCCATGTCGGACCCCTCAGAGCTGGCTGCAGCATCAGCAGCGCGGGTGTGGATCGCCGAGCAGCGCGACGTGTGGCAGGCAGCGGATGTAGTCCACAGAACCAAGCAGCATGTCGACGTCATCATGTCCGACACGAGGGTCCGGAAAACCCTCAGCCTCTCAAACGTGGTTGTGGTCCCCAGGAACCCTCCAGCTCTCGAGGGGACCAACGACCTGGTCACCCTCCAGTTCCTCGACGAGCCCAACATCCTCCACAACCTCAGGATCAGGTACGAGCAGGGAGAGATCTACACCAACACAGGGCCCATCCTCATCGCCATCAACCCTTGGAAGACTCTCAACATCTACTCTCCGGATTACATCCGCCTCTACGACGCCTCCAACCTGGACAAGGAGCCCGGCAGCCTCCCCCCCCACGTGTATGCTGTAGCCGACGCCTCCTACAGGGCGATGCTGAGGGACGACAAGGATCAGTCGATCCTCGTGAGCGGGGAGAGCGGGGCGGGGAAGACGGAGACTACAAAGTTCCTGATGCGCTTCCTCGCATACGTTTCGAGCTCTCGGTCGCAGAACGTGACCTCTAGAATGTTGCACCTCAATGACGCTGTGACGGAGGAGAAGGTGCTCGACTCCAACCCCCTCCTGGAGGCCTTCGGGAACGCGAAAACTCTCCGCAATGACAACAGCAGCCGATTTGGTAAGTACATCGACCTCCACTTCGGTCACGATGGTGCTCTACTTGGTGGAGCGATACAGGTAGACTGCATCTGTGGCAAATACTCGTTGCTGAAATCCTCCTTCTCCTCCTCCCCCTGCTGCTCCTCCTCCTCCTCCTCCTCCTCCTCTTCTTCCCATTCTGCTCCACTCCCTTCTCCCTCAGACCTACCTGCTGGAGAAGGCTCGAGTGGTCCAGCAGGCAGCAGGGGAGCGCAACTTCCACATCTTCTACCAGCTCATCACAGGGTCCACGTTGCTCGAGCCCTCCTTCAAGGAGAAGCTCGATCTCGACAGCAACCCTGACAGCTATCGCTACCTCATGCATGCGCCCGGTGAAGAATGCACCATCGACGACGAGAAGAGCTTCGCAAGGACCCTCAAGGCCCTGGACTCCGTCGGCATCACAGCCGAGGAGCGGGACAACATCCTCACCGTGGTTGCTGGTCCGTGGCTGAACCTCTTAGCTGCTCTGTCTCTCCCGTCTCGCCCTTCCTTCCCTCACTTTCCTACCACCTCTTGCACCCTTGTCCCTCTCCTCCTCCCAGCTCGTGACTCTGTGTACCCATCCCGACTTTTCCTAACTCCATTGTTCTATTCTTTGTCCCCCTCCCCCTCTCTGTCCTCCCACTGCTGCTCACTCACATTCTTCCCGTCTCCTTCTTCCCCTTCCTCTTCTCCCTCTTCCTTCCCCCCGTCCTCGTCCTCGTCCTCTTCCTACTTGCCCATTTCTTCTATCCCTCACTCTCTCATCAGGCATCCTTCACCTGGGCAACGTGGAAGTCAGCGGTGGCGAAGGAGATCAGAAGGAGCAGGCGTTTGGCCTCCTCGAGCACGACGCCCCCAGCAACGTCTGCGCGCTCCTCCAAGTAGGGAGAGAGGATCTCGAGCTCGCGCTCTGCCGCCGCAGGATCGTTGCGACAGCTGATGACCAGTACGACGTGGCGCTATCGAGGATGCAGGCAAACCACACGAGGGATGCACTGGCCAAGGCCCTCTACACGCGCCTCTTCTCCTTCCTGGTGATGCGCGTCAATACCTCCCTGAACCCCGGGATGAAGGCGAGGAGGACGCTCAAGACTTCAGTGCTCGACATCTTCGGGTTCGAGTTCTTCGACGTGAACAGGTGCGAGGCCACATGGGAGGAGGTTTGAGGTTGGGCAGGAGCTCTGAGTTCGAGAGAGTCTGTTGAGTTCCGATGGACACTAGTTTGTCAAAGGTGGAAGGAGAAGGAGTTTCATCCTTGGTGTCAAGGATGGGGACGAATGATATTGGAAGATGCAGCAGCAGCATCAGCAACATCTGGAGCAGTAGGATGGGCAGTATGAGAAAGAGTAAGGAGGCCAAGGGAGGGAGAGTGAGGAAAGCATGGGGAGGGAGGAAGAAGAGGCAGTTCAGGATCGAGGAGGCTGCAGTTTCGGCTTGCCTGACTGGTCAGCAGGTTCGAACAGTTCTGCATCAACTACGCCAACGAGAAGCTGCAGCAGTACTTCGTTGAGTTCGTCTTCAAGCTCGAGCAGGCTGAGTACATCGCTGAGGGAATCGACTGGCAGCAGGTGAAACATGCGTAACCCTGCTTCATTAGACACTTCACCTCCTCATTGCCCTCTCCATCTTGCTATTCTCCTCCCTCTTCCATAGCCCTTCTTTATCCTCTACCTCTACCTCTACCTCTACCTCTACCTCTACCTCTACCTCTACCTCTACCTCTACCTCTACCTCTACCTCTACCTCTACCTCTACCTTTACCTCCTCTTCTTTCTCGCATACTCCATGAATATGCTCTATTGAATGCCTTTACTCCATATTGATCATTCAATTTGCGATCATGAAATCGAAAATATCTCTTTCGCTGCCTTTCAATTCCTCTCCTCCCATCTCTCTTCATCTTTCCCCTTCTCTTCTTTTCCTTATCCTCTTCCCTCCTCCTCTGAACATGCCTCAGGTTGGCTTCAGCGACAATCGTGCGAGCATTGAGCTGATAGAGGCGAAACCGAATGGCATTCTTGCCATTCTCAACGAGGAGTGCATTCTACCTAGCGGAGGGTCTGATCAAGACTTTGCGCGCAAGGTCAGGGAGAAATGTGAAGCCTCCTCCTGCTTCTTCGCTCCAAAGCTGCAGACCGACTCCTTCACCGTCAAGCACTATGCAGGAGAGGTGCGCACAGATAGACCCTCTTGCTCCCCCTCCCTTTTACTCCCCCATCCCTGCTCTCCCCCTCTTTCGCTCCCCTCCCTCCTGCTCCCCCCTTCCCCCCCCCCCGAGCGCCAAATTTCCCTGTCTACCTCACTGCCTCCCTGTCTTACCTTGTCTTCTTGCTCGACTTCCTCCGGCGTCTCGCTGAGCTCTCAGCATAACGAGCATGCAGGTCAACTACTCCTCGGAAGGGTTTGTGGACGCAAATCGCGACCTTCTTCAGCCTGCTCTGCTAGGTGGAGGCTGACAGGGAGGAGGCGCTTCTGACTTGACCCGCAGACACCATGATTCAATCAGGATCAAGCTTCATCCGCAACCTCTTCGACAACCCTCTCTTCGACATCAACAACAGGAGGGATGAGAAGTCCTCGCAAGAGCAGGATCGACGAGGCCGGCAGCAACCCGGACGGGCAGGGGCAGGAGCAGGAGCAGGAGGACAGCCGAGAAGATCGACTTTGATCTTCACATCGGTCTCGACTCAATTTCGACAACAGCTCGTGTCCCTTGTGAGCGCCATATCCAAGACCTCTCCTCACTTCATCCGGTGACTTGCTCTCCCTCCCTCCCTCCCTCCCTCCCTCCCTCCCTCTCCCTCTCTCCCTCTTCTCCCCCTCCCCTCCCCTCCCCTCCCCTCCCTTCCCCCCCCCCCACTCCCCCATCCTCTCTCTCTGCTCACCTGCGATTGCTCAGATGCATCAACCCCAACAACGTTCGATCGCCTGCGCTCTTCGACACTTTCGCCTGCCTGGAACAAGTTAGTGATGGCTCCTCCTTGCTCTTGCTGAGATGTTCTCGTCAGCTGCGGTGCGGAGGAGTGATGGACGCAGTTCATGTTACCAGGAGTGGATTTGGTTCGAGATACCCGTATCATGACTTCTTGGAGAGGTAAGAGCGAGCGATGGTCGTACTGTCTTGAATATAGCACGAGAGTGCAACGAGATTATAATTGATCAATAGTCTTCGGATAATCAAGATGGAGATGTTTGTTTGCTTATTTGTTTGCGATATGATGCTTGTTTGATTCACATGTGTTGCTTGTTTTGATATGCAAGCACCGACGAGGTTGGGCCAGGTTTCAATGTTGCATCAAAGAGACAAGAGGGCAGACAGTGCAGGAGAAAGCAAGTGCTATCATGACGGCAATGGGTGAGAAAGAAACTCTTCTCAAGCTGCTCATCTGAAATTCTCCTGGTCGGCAGGGATGAATGCAAACATGTTTCGACTTGGACGGACGAAAATGTTCTTACGACATCACGTCATCGAGCTTCTTGAGGTGAAGAACTATGATCTTGTCACTTCATATCGCAAGAAGTATCTCCTCTGACTTCCTCCACAACCATCATCATCATCATCATCATCATCATCATCATCATCATCATCATCATCATCATCATCATCATCATCATCATCATCATCATCATCATCATCATCATTTTCATTTTCTTCTTTTTGTTCGTCATCTTCATCGTCATCGTCATCTCCATCACTCCTTTTGTCAAGGTTGAACTTCATTTCCAGGTCAAGCGTTCAGAGCTTGTACGAGCCTTTGTCATCAGGTTGCAAAATGCCTGGAGGCAGAAGACTTGTAGATGGTACAAATTTCACCCTGAGCATTATTAGAATTTGATCTCAATGCAGCGTGTTCAGACAGCTGTGGAATGAAAGGCAGGAGAGGAGAAGAGCGCTCTGTGTAGTTGTATCTCGATTCCTCAAGGTCTCTTCGACTTCTTACTCTTCCTGCTGTGTGATGCTGTACAGGCGTCAGCACGACGGAAGGTCTACGCAAGGGACCTGGTCGACATGCGGCAGAAGGAGGCAGAGAGAGAGCGAGACAGACAGAGACAGAAAGAGAGAGAGCGAGAGAAGTTCGAGGCCTTGGGACAGGAGGAGCAGCAGGACAGGAAGCCCTCCTTCTCCTCGGAGTCGGGCTTTCAAGAGAATCAGGAGCAGGAGGAAGAGGAGCAGGGAGGGCAAGGAGACTTCAACAGCAACAGCAGGAGGTTGTGCTCCATTCTCCTTCACCTGCTCCTTGACGCTTGTCATGTACGTCAGACCGAACCATCTCAGGGTGAGCGTGACGAGCAACGAGGAGCAAAGACAGCATGAGCCTTCTCCTCTCAGCGCCGGGAGCTCCCATGGGATGAAGATACTGGAGAAGATGATGGAAGCAGGTAGCGTTTGCCTCTGCTGATGACGTGTGCATATGTGGTTCGGTGTTTGTGGAAGGTGTTTGTGCTTGCTGATCGTGATTGCTCGTTTCCTGTCTTGTCACTGTCGCTGAGAGTTTCTCCCATCAGGGTGGCAGGATGATTGGACGTACCTGACGAGGAGGCTCGACGAAGAGAGAACCAAGGTCAGGGTCTTCTGTCCCTTCCTCCCCCTTCCTCCTTCCTCTTCCCTTCTGCCTGCCTGTCTTCTTCCGTTCTGGTCCTCTGTCTGATTTGATTCTATTCCATTCATCCTTTCTTCTACTTCACTTGTTCTGCTCGCTTCGTCTTATTTTTGATGCGACCGAACTCAGAGATGGAATGCGGAGAAGCTGGCGAGCGAGGCGACGATGACAGGTGACCCAAATGTCTGACAAGCTGTTACATCTCCACATCACAGACAACTTGCTGACTTCGACTACATCTCTTGTTGTCTTTGTCTCAGCACTTTGCTTGAGCTCATGTCACAATGTGTTGCTTGAATCTCTCACATATTTCACCTCCTACCTTCGATTTCAAACCATATTTCCCTCCTTTTGAGTTTTCTCTTTTCAGCTCGCATTGTTGAGAGAGAACTACACGAAGAGCGAAGACTGCGCAACGAGCTCAGTCTCCTCATTCACGACCTCTCGATCCAAGTGAGTTTGACATGAACACACCAACACCCTGACCGACACGCAGAACGACATCCCGACTCTGAAACGAGAACTCGAGGTATCCTCTTCTTCCTTCTTCCTTCTCCTCCTCTCACTCGATCTCACACTTGCTTCTCCGCTCCCCCCCTCCTCCTTCTCTCATCATCCTCGCAGGACATCCGTGCTCGCATGGCGGGCGAAGAGCGAGGGCAACTGTTAGGTGACGTCATAATTTGGTTGAGACCAGGGGCTGAGGCAGCGGCAGAGCATCACGACGCCTGCTGTGTGGCCATTCAGATGAAGCTGGACCTCGCGGCTAAGGTGAGAGGCGAGCAGGGAAGAAGCGCGATGACCGACGTGCTCAGATCAAGAGCTTGAAGCTGTCGCGTGAGATGCCCAAGAGCATCAGCGCCGAGGTGATGTGAAGATGAGTCGTCCGATGACGCTGATGGTGGACAGAACGCTGCTCTTCAGGAGAAACTTCAAGTCGTAGAGAGAGTGATGATGATTGTTTGACCTTCTCCTCTCCTGACGAGGAGGTTTCTAGGAGCTGACTGAAGTCCGGAGGCGGGAGACCAAGCTTCATGCGCAGGTGGAGCAGAAGTCGGTGCTGCTGACGTCTGTGACCACGTGCATGGTTAGCTGAAGGCGCTGGTGTTGGGGATGAGATCAGAGAATGACATCAACTTTGTGAACTGCAATCATCTGGACAATCAAGGAGAGAAAGATTTCTCTGGAAGTGTATCAATGCAGGTGCGCAGACCTTGCGATATCATCGAAAAAAGAGTCTCTGAAGTGATGTGAAAGAACGAGTTTCTTGTGGAGGAGATGAAACGAGAAGTCTGGGCAAGAAAGAAGGTAAGAGACTCATTCTGTCTCTTGAAGTGGGAGATTGACTGCCGGAAGGTTCTGAATAAAGTGTTCACATCTTTACAAGCTTGCAACACAAACCAAGCAAGCAAGGTGAGCTCGGTTATGATGGCGATTAATGTGACTCGGATCGAAGATGAACGATGAGTTGCTTCACCTCCAAACTTTTGTATTGGACGCAAGTGAGATCCTCCATGAAGAACAAGGCAACGAACGAGACAAACAAACTTCCGAGCGCGTCAAACACTCCAACATCATTGCTGAAACTCGTGATATGCTCTTAGAAGGCCTCAAGAGAATACAGGTCATCTCAGCCGCCATTGCTGCCTGCTTCCTAACTTGTGGCAGCAGAACAAATCTCAGAAAGAGCTGAATCGTCAAGGCTCGGTACAACCCCGTAAGTCTCTTGTGTTACAGCGCATCGTCCTTACGTTGTTAGATCACCAATCCGATGAAGAGTGGAAGGCCCTTCACAGAGTTATGATGACGGCGAGCAGCGAGTCTAATCCACCTGCTTTGATGAACGTGTCGAAGGAGCTCCGACTGCAGGTGAAGCAGGAGAAAGAAGGAGGAGAGGAGAGGGCAAGGGACGGAGCAAGGGACGGAGAGAGACAGAGACAGAGGCAGAAGTACAGGCGAGACACAAGCAGAAAGAGAGGAAGAAGGAAGGCAGGCAGGCAGGGTTTCTGAGTGTGAGAGACCAAGGTCGAAGTCAACAAATCTCCTCCATCTGTCTGATCGTTTGACATGATGTTTATCTGCAGATTGAAACGAAAAGCATCGTAGGCAAGACAGAAGAACAGACCCCTCTAGCGGTCTCGCTTGAAGCGCTCCTAGCCGTCGCTGACCTGATCGAGACTAAGGTAGCGACAGACTCTCTTCCCGTCCTCGACTGACTTGCGGCAGGGTCTGCTGCTCCGAGAGAAGGAGGAGAGAAAGCAAGAGAGCCAACGAGTCAGCAGAAATTTTGAGCTGGAGCATGCGGCTCGACTTCAGGTCTCACAACAAGCATCATGTTGACGAGGGTGTCTGATGCGAACTCGCCAGTTGTCAACGTTTGTGAAAGACATCTCTCTAGTATCAGACCCTGTCTTCCTGCAGGTAAGTCTCCTGGCGGCAGAGCTTGCAAGGAAGGCTGACTTGAGGTGACCAGGCGCGGCTGAAAGCCCTGCAAGCCAAAGTGACAGAGGAGAAGAACAAGATCCGAGGGTCAGAGCAGATCAAAAGCGGCATGGCAATACAGGTTCAGTCTTGATGATGTTTCTGTCATTTCTCACCAAAGGTTGTAGATGATCAAAGACATGGAGGCGTGTGTGATGTTGCTCGAAGACAAGGTATTATCATCACAGCATGTCGCCCTTGCACTCACTGTTTACACAGGTCAAACTCCTAAGTCGGCTACAATGATGTTGGTTGGGTGTAGATAGCATTTCACCTGCTCGTATTCTTTCTCTTCTCACTGGGGTCTGTTGTGTGAACTCAAAAGAATGTTTTAAGACTTTATCAGTGGTTTACTCTCCATCTTACATCCTCCTCCCTCAGTACTGGGAAAGGCTCTCCTTGAGCATGGGCGAGGACGTGCAGTCTGCGGCGGAGCAAGCTGAGATCTCAGCTGCCTTGTAGCTGGGGACCTCAGCCTGCATCACAGGCTTGATGTCCACTGCAGGTACCTTCCTGCCAAAAACTCCAAGAAGCTGCCAAGAGTGCGATCAGCAAGCTGCAAGTCGACTCGTGTCGGAGCATGTGCCCTCCGCAACTCTCAACCCTAACCTCTTCTCCTATTGTCCGTTTGTTGTCCATCTCTTCCATTCTGCTCCTTGCTGTCTACCAACCAAGATGTTCTCCCGTGGACTAGCAGAACACACGATCAAACCTCGGAGTCTAAACTCATAAACTTTTGGACTTTTACAGGCTATCAGGTCAAGACAGAGGATTTTACCTCCTCTCTTCGCTATCACCATCTCACATCGTAGTCTTGACGCTCACACCATCAGCGACCATGTCAAAATGTAGATTTTCGGTACAATAATTGCCACTATTCCCACCTCCATGAATAGATTATATCTCAAACTAAACCCATGCTCTTTACAAAAATATCAGTTCACATACATTCCTCCACTTCATTTCAATTGTCATAAACCATCAACAGCATCTTTGTATCAGTCCCTTCACCCTCGCTACTCACCTCTCATTTGCTGTTTGCAGCCTTCCTCTCATTATCACCACCACCACTACCACCACCACCACAACCACTACCATCCTCCGACCCTCCTCATCCGATGACTCAGTCACAGTGAGGTTCATGATGGTCATCATCATGTACTTGTCTTCAGTTTCAGCATCGCCATCGCATCAACATCTTCTCGAGCCTTCTTCTTCTCTCGTCTCACCTCAAACATGTCGCTGCTCTTGATAAGATTCCGAATCCACCGCTGTTTTGCTTAGGTCCGTCTGGTTTCCGAAATACAGCTCAGCTCCACTTCAATAGTTCCAGATAATTTTGAAATCTGAAACATAAATTTCGGCTGTTTGAATCGCTCGAAAAGTGGCCCGGGTGGCCCAAGCGCCACCGTTAAGAGTCGTCGGGCTAAATCCGGCGATCGTTGTTCGGAATTATGATGGCACGGCGCTGCCAGTACCCTGGAGCTGGAGACCGTACCGCCGGGGCCCGGCCTTCAATGCGGGGGGCCACTGGGCCCGCCGCGCCGGCACCGTCAGCCACTGAGAGCCAGGGCCGGCCCGCCGCGGGGGCCGCCGGGCCCGGCCTGGGCTCGCCGGCCCCGGCCGTCGCCCGCCGTACGGTCCGGGAGAGGCCGAGCCCGGCCAGGCTTAGTCTCGGCCCAAGTCCCGGGGCCCGGCGCACCGCTGCCTGGCCCCGGGCCAGTGGGCGGCCCGCATTTTTTCAGACGGGCGGCCCCCCCGGGGGACCCTCGAGTCCGTTGCCAAGTTGAGAGTCAGTGCCGCACACCGTCTCAGTCTATGCGTGCCGGCTGGCAACCAGTAGGCCCGCTCAGTTCGAGTTCGGAGTTGCATCTGTGAACCGTCACGGATGCGGCTATTTAGTTAGTCACGGATGTCACAGCGGCACCGGAGCCGCCTCTCACCGAGTCGCCACTGGCTCGGAGCCCCCGCCTGTCCCGACGCCAGGCCGGCCCCGTCCGACACGTCGGACCGGAGTCCGACAGTGAGCGCCGGGCCCGCCGGGCCACGCCACTCAGCGTACGGGCGGCCATAGGCCGCTAGTAAGTCGGCCCCGCGCCGCCCGGCGGCCGGTTTTGGCTGTGCCGCCGCACCGCCGGTGATCGGACCGTCCGATTGCCACGGTCAGAGTCAGTTCACGCCTGCTCAGAGTCTGTCGCCGCAGGCTGTTGCAAATTTTCGGACATGGCGCGGCCTGGCTTACCGCCTACACATTGATCAGTCGCCTGAGGTACGGTACTCAGGTACTGATAGTACACTCCGTGACTTAGTCGGGCCGGAACACCGTGACGTGAAGCCTGGCGGCCGCGCATGATCATCAAGTTGATTCATATTCGGATTTACAGTGATGACTCGGACTCGTAACTTAGTAAATTGAATCCGAACTCAGTGAGGAGCCGCTGGGAGTCTGCGCAGCGGCAGTGTGACAGGCTGACGCGGATTCATTGGGCTGATTCCAGCATTCCAGTAGCCGGGGGGCATACTAAGGTAGTATGTTGACAAGCAGCGAGGTAAAGACTGAAAGGGAATCACTTGCTCTCCCCTGACCACCTTGCCATATGCTTGCTATCGAATCCAAGCTTTTTCCCCTTCAACCTCAAGTTAGTCCAACTACTCCGATCACACAGTGTCAAACAAGGATCTCCTACCTGCTTCACAAGGAAGACTCCTTTCGGTCCTCCTTTCCTACCATTGTTGGCAGACCTCACCCATCCTCCTGCCCCAGGTCTTTCTGACTGTTAGCAGCATAGCGACAAACAGTTACTCTCCCTACCCATCTTCGCTCAGTCGTAGCCAGGGACCCTCTTGTCCGTCAACATCCACCAACTGCATCCCTTTGAGCCGACCAATCGGTTCGAACTCCTCGCCAGGGCTGACGTCAGCCGTCAATACAACCTCAAACAAGGGAAGGGAATGATCGAGATGAAGTGACCCACCCCGAGTGAACGACAACTCCTTTGGCTGCAATCACCTTCCACGTGCTGCACTCAAGGTCTGGTTTGAACTCATCTCCTGCACAACGCGTCAGACTGAGTTCAACCTTGTCTACGTCGAGCGCACCGAGAACAGGAAGGTAGCTGTACTGATCGCTGTTGTCAGCCGACGTGCTCGTATAACTGGACTCATATCTGCTCAACATAGTCAAACAAAGCATGTTTCAAGTGATGAGGGCAATCACGTTCGCTCTGGGGTTGGAGAAGGCGGTCGCTGTTTTTCGACAGTGACTTGCTTTTGTGATAGAATGTTTGCGAGCTTCTTGGTGGCTGCCTCTTGCCAAAGGTCTTTATAGCTCACCACGTTTCTTGGAGCCACGGGCTCCTCTATCAGCAAATGCATGAGCAAGATCAAAGACGTTGTCATGGTTTGCGTACCAATCTCCTCAACAGGCTCAGGGGCAGGGCTGGGCCTGTTCGCAACTGCAGGACACACGTCAATTGAGCAACTTGATCCTGAGGCACTGCATTACCGTTGGATGAAGTTGGCAGGACAGAAGATTTGGGTCGCCAGGCTGCAGCAACTGATCAAAATCACATCACTCGGATGAGATCTTTTTCTCAGCTCACCGTCTTGGCCACTGCTTGCTGGGCGAGGGATGCTGCGCTGACTAAGAGGACGGGAAGCAGGAGGCGCCTTTGTGAAGTACTTGGATCGACCGCCTGCATCAATATTCTGAATCAATGCACTTTTAGCACGCGTGCATAGTCTCAAACCGAGTGTACGAGCCGCGTCTTGCTGGAGCTCGAGGCTGCGCTGCCGGCGAGCTTCTGCTTCTGCCTCACTTTCCAAGACCTCAGCCTTGACTTCCTCTTTGACTTGATTGTGTGCCAAGCTGAGATCACTCAGTTCTCTTGTCTTTGCAGTATTGTCCTGCTTCTGATATCAATTGTGCGGCAGATTTTTGAGACATTAGTCAGTCCATACCAAATCACTCTCTTGCGACAATGAAACACTTTCAGCGGAGAAGCTGGCTTCGTTCTTGATAATCTCACGATACTTGGGATCTTGTACGACAAAGGCTCGTCTCCGAATCCTTGCTGCTTCAAGTTTCTCCTCCTCCGTTGCTCCTGTCCCAACCACCTGATACTGTGCCTGAGTCAGGTGCCTGGCAATCATCCCACTACCTTCCTGTACCTGAGTCACAGCTCTCTTCCACCTGCTCTTGGTCTCGTCGCCGAACACCACTTTCTTGATCCAGTCTTTCATCCCAGCTTGTACATGCAGGGCTGTAGCAGGCCGACTGCGCGAGAGCGGCGGAAGCTTTTTGCTCAGATCGGCGATACCAACGTAGAGTCCTCCATGGCACAGCGAAAAAGCAAGCAATGTCTGATCTCTGTGAGCCGTGCTGGGGTAACACGAGTCTGCATGGCCTTGCACAGTGTCGTACGAACTTCCGATGAACAATGTCGAGACCAGAATGAAAGAGCTAGGAGAAAGTCTGGAGCGGAGCATTCTTACAAGGGGAGGTTCCTCGGAAGCCCCCCTGAGCCGATCCCTTCAGTTAGCACGATAATCCAGAGTTCAAATCAGGAGATTCTGATGCGGTAGTGTGTTGAATGTTAGCAGCGGTTGCGAATCATGATGAGAAGATCTGCTTACAGGAATAATTATCTCAGAGCGAAACTGTAGGGAGGAAAGTATGCTCTGTAGAACTGAGGGCACTGAAAGCTTACCGCAGCTGAGCAGGCACTCTACTTTACACTAAACACGGTTTGGAAGATTTTCCTATCTAGCATTGCATCGCCCAAAAACGATCTCAAAAGATTTTTGTGTCTCGTGGCAGGGACAGAACTTGTCGGGTTGCTACCAAATCAAGTCAAACAAAGACAAGTCAGCATAAATATCAGCCTCCGTCTTGCTACCATAAACATTGTAAGCATCTTGCATCCTTGATGCAAATCAAACGCTTTCTTGTACTATCTTTCCAACTTCCTCGTTCTTTTCACTCTGGTGCAGCAGCCATGGCTAGGGGACGGACTGAACAGTTACTGCAATTGTAGGGGTGGGTATGTTAGTCGAGTGGGTAGGGTATCCATATGAAATTAGGGTCGTACGGAAAGACACGGGTACAGTTTGCTTGGTTTGCATGGGTACACATAGGGAGGTATGAAGGATGTTCTTGCTCATCCGGGGGTGGGGTTGTGTACCATCACAGTTGAATGAGACGTAAACGAGGCCCTGTTGTGGGGGTAGGGTGATGCCTGATGGTCCCAGGAGATCTGAGGGGTAGTAGTAATAGCTGCATCATTGTATGGGGTACGGGTCAACATGAATTGTGCAGAGGGGTACGGTACGCTTACACCCATACCCCTCATTTTCATATCAAACTCTGGGCAAATAGGTACATTTGATGTTAGCGGTGGTAGAAATAGGGGGGTATACAATTGTTCCATGGGGTCTGTCTGAGGGGGGTGGTTGACTGGAACGGAAGTTTTTGTTGACTGATAACTGACCATTCTAGGAGGATCAGGCTCGCCTCAGAATCAAGGAAATCGTGGACAGCGATATACTATTAAGACAAACTCTTAACAAATGTGGGGCAGCACCTTCACTTGCTTCAAACAGCATCGGTTGTCACCGGGACGGGGCAAGAGGGAGATCCGAGAAGGGAAGGAGGAGGAGGAGAGAAGCTGACTGGTAGGGAGATGTTGCACTCGGCCTCTCGATCAAAGGTTGTCATGCCAGTACAGCAGAGAGAGAAATCCAGCTCCTTGCTGAAGGACAATGTAGGGCAGGTTAGGACCAGCGAAAGTCACCCGATCACAGTTTCCTTTCTCTCTGAGCCTTCAGACAACCGCGGAAACATCGGTTTGTGCTACTGCCCCGGGAAGAATGTTGATCGAGATGGCGTCCGATGGAGAAGGGACTTGGACAAAGATCTCGCGACGGTATTGCGTATTCCTTCGCCATGCCTTGATCAAGTGAAACACGTTTCTTGTCAGTTGAAATCCAAGTTCAACATCGACCTGGTGGTTTGTCTGCTGTCGATCAGTGAGCTGCGCCACCTCGGTGTGAAGGGCAGCCTGGAGGAGGCCTGTAAGTGCTTGCCCTCCCCCAGGGGAGCGAGAGCTTTCGACCCAACCGATGACGCATTCCTGTTCAGGTCGGAGGGCCGAGCTTGACTTCATTCAGTACCCCATCATCGAGATGAAAGCGCCTGAAGACTTTAACTCGGCGTGCCAGCTACTGCGGCGACTCTCCGATGCCGTCCGGGCCGGCAAGCACGTGGTGATTCACTGTAGGGGAGGAGTGGGAAGGGCGGGGACGCTAGGAGCGTGCCTGCTCCTTGAGCAAGGTGTCGTGCACAATGCAAAGGACGCCATTGCCCTCGTGAGAAAGAAGAGATGCAAGGCAGCGGTCGAGAGCAGATCACAAGAGCAATTCATCGCAAAGTTTGCAACTTCGTTATCGTCAAGATCTGTTTGCGCATGATTCGCGCTGATGTTGGATCCTGTATGGCTGCCTGCTCACTGTATTCTTCCTTGTTCTCCGGCTTTGTATTGCTTCTCCTTTCCTGCCATCAAGTCAGTGTAAAATTCTTTTTGCCTGTAATATAGAAGCTACTCATTTCCTCCCCAACATCGTCTTCTCTTCGCGGAAAGAACCACTTTGTCTCCTGCTGAGCGAGCAGCGCTTGCAATGTTCTTACCACAGTGCTGCTGGCACAAGCTCTCCCTTTGCCATCCCCATTGCTTACATTCTCCGCTTACATTCTCCGTCGCTTCCCTCCCCCTCCCCATCGTGGAATTTCGGGTTTCATTCGAGGTTGCCCTCTGGGCGGATTGGGGCTGGGGCAGGGGGCGTAGAATGGAATGGGGAGGGTGGCGGCGGGAGGAGGGAGAGAGTGGCGAAAGATGGGGGGGAAGGGACGTGGATGAGGATGAGGCTGTAGGGACAGGGCTGGTTAAGAGAGTCTTGGAGGAAGTATGGAGAGTGAGTGAGGGAGGGATGTGGGGGGAGGGAGGGAGGGAGGGAGGGAGGGAGGGAGGGAGGGAGGGAGGAGATGGACGAGAATGAACAAGGGAGGAGAGGGAGGGAAGAGAGGGAGGGAGGTAAGGAGAGAAGCAGGGAGGCAGGGGAGGAGAGGAGGGGGAGATAAAGAAGAAGGAGCGGCTGCAGATGTTTTGGAGGATGACACACGTCGCTGGTTCAGATTCCTCTCCAGGCGAGGAGACGCTGCCTTTCGCTGGGGTGGTTTGCCATCGCTCTTGCCCACTGCACCCTGTGTAGCTCGTCACTGTCGGATATGGCCATGGAGGGGAGGGCGGGGAAGCGGAGACTGATCGAACGGTGCATGCGGACCCGGTCTGAGGTCACACTGATGGAGGTCACAGGACGAAGTTGAACGAAGACTTCCAGACCTACAAGCTCTGCAATGTGACGAGACCCTTCCTGCCTCCCTCTCGTGCCCTCACTCTCTGCAGGAACCCATGTTCAAGACCATCACCAAGACTCGGATCTCCTCTGGACTCCGTGTGACCAGCAGGTTCTTGAAAGCTCCTCTCCTTGTTCCCCTTCCTCGTTCCCCTCCTAATCTCTCACCTCAACTCCACCAACCTCATCTCTTCCTCGTCCTCGTCCTCGTCCTCGTCCTCGTCCTCGTCCCGTTCACCTCGAACTTCTGTTGCTGCAGGCAATTGGGGTCAGGAGTGGATTATGCGAGTACTGCATTCCGCATCTGCTTCGACGACCTCCAGCGCGACCGGCTGCAGCCTCAGTCATCGTTCTTCCTAGTGAGGAGGGATAGTGGGATCTCCCGCCTCCAGCTCAAGGGTCCTCGTCCTCGTCCTCGTGCGATGGGTGGGAAGGCTGACTGTGAGGGCAGGAGACGATATCGAGCTGGAGCATGTGGTGCAGCTCAGGCCCAAGCTGAGGAGCGGGGAGATTGTATCTGTGTGCGGGGATGCTCAGTATGTGGTGGTGTGCCGGCAGGACGGGAATGTGTCGCTGATCAAGAGGAGCTTGTCGCCATCGCATTCGTATCATGTGAGGGAGAAAGGAATGTGAGGAGAGGATGAAGAGGGCATGACATGAATGGTGTGAGAAAGGAATGCGTTAGAAGGAGTGAGGTAGAAAGAGTGAGGGTGGGAGAGAGGTAGTGAGAGGGAGGGAGGGAGAGGGAAGGAAGAAGGAGGGAGGTAGAGGATGTGGGGTAGGGGGTGCAGCTCTCGGGCCCTGCTGAGAGGATCGTCTCCTAGGTGTTTGCGCGGGCCAAGTTGCAAGAGCACGGATCCTGCGTCGACGTCTGCCGTGTGAAGGAGGATGACAAGGACGTGGAGGAAGAGAGCGATGAGTCCGAAAGGGAGGTCAGGAGAGTCGACTACCACGAGGGGTACCATGTCGTGGACCTGAGGTACAGCCCAGAAGGGAAGACCCTCTCCATCCTCCTGGCCGTCTTCTCTGCCCTCGACGAGTCGAACGAGTGCGGCCTCCAACCGTCTGCTTGCAAACTCCAGCTCGTCAAGCTCCAGCATGCGGAGGATGACGAGTCGTTGTCTCTGCTCTACAGCGCTGGGCTCAATGTAGGAGGAATCTATCCTGACCTGGCGCGCATCTGGCCGTCTGCCGATGAGGTTGACAACACTATACGATACTCCTCCACCTGAGAACCTGCTGGTCTGTAGATCTTCACGGTGTCCCGAATCCCGTTCCAGCAGGAGGAGGAGAACGTGAGGGGAAAGGGACAGCTTGTCGACCTCTCCTTCCTTGACATCATGGACGAAGCTCCAGTGTACATGTCAGTCAGGCTGCCAGCGTTTCCTCCTGCTCGCTGACCTTCCTCCTCCACAGCTCCAGATGCAAGCTGCGAGACGGCAGCGGGGAGGGCGCGGGCTCCTCCACTTGGAGGGTGGCCAGCGAGAAGGTCAGTATGATCGAGTCCGACCAGCTGTCTCTTCCTGACCCCTGCTGTCTCCCCAGCTAGAGGATGCTGGGAATCACTTTCAGTTCGTGGCTTTAAGTGAGGCTTCCTGATCCGCTCCCCTTAAGTTGACATCCTTGCAGGTGGGCCGACAGCTGAGCCTTACGACCTTCCCATGCTGGGAGTCTCGGTGAGCTGCTTGGCTCGCGTTCGGTTGAGGAGGATGTGGTTGGCGTGGTGGTGTAGGAGGGGGGGGGGGGGGGAGTAGGAGGAGGAGGAGGAGGAGGAGGAGGAGGAGAGTAACGAAGAGGTACAGACTACGGGTCCTACTGGAATGAACGACCTCCACGTGCTCAAGCTCTCCGATCCACAGACTGAGGTGGTTTGGGATTTGCAGATGGGAATCTGATTTGCCTTCTTCTCCATACCACGAGATGCCATGTGCCTTTCAGATGATGACACTTGTCAAGGTCGAGGAAGGAGTTGCGGCAAAGATCGAGCACCTCTCCTCCTTCTCTGCCATCGCGTACATCCATGTGCTCCTCCTCTTTCTCCTCCTCTCCCTTGATGCTGAAGAGCTCACCGCAGAAGCACAAGGAGGAGAAGGTGGCAGTGACCTTCAGCTCGGACCTGAGCTTTCTTGTCATGAACGACGCTTCCTTCAGCTTCACGGTCCTTTCTGGCCGACTGAACCTGTGAGGAGCTGCTCACACGACTTGCCAGGTGTTCGAGCACTGCAAGAGAAGGAGGGTTTCGAGAGAGGAAGTCAGTCTGAACGGCCTGCCGAGATGATCTCTGATGTTGTAGGGCAGGTCATACAGTTCGATGAGGAGGACGACGTGATTGCCGGATGCGCCATCGGCAGCAAGTATCTCGTGCTCACCGAGACTCACGCGAAGCTCTACAAGCTACAGGAGGGAGAGCCGAGCGAGGAAAGCGTGCGGGAGGAAACGAACATGTGAAGGTGCTCCCTTCCTCCCTCCCTGTCTCACCGCTACCCAGGGATCGTCTGCAGAAGGAGCTAGGAATGAAGATACCAGAGCACCTGCTGGACGACTGGTGAAGGAGCACTGGCGAGTATGAGCGGGCAATGGCGATCAAGAGGAGTGAGGAGGGAGTGTGTTGTGTGTTGGAGGAGGATAAGGAGGCGAGAAGAAGGCAGTTGTCTTGAGTTGACGATGCAACATGGCTAGACCGGATCCTCCAACGAGATTCTCAACATCCTCAGTCGCTTTCCCTTCTTGGGCGCGACATTGAGCCGTTTGAGCCCCTGGGCGAACTCCTTGTAGCACAGGGACCCGTCCTTGTTGGTGTCGAGGTCCTCAAACAGCTTCTTCATCGCCTGCTCGTCGATGTCGAAGGTCGAGGCGTCCGCCGCCTGCTTCGTCACGTTGTGCTGCGGGTTGTACTTGTCGATGACCTGGTCAAGAGGAGCATCGTTGAGAAGCTCTGCGATCGCGTCGACAAACTTCTCAGTCGTCAGCCCCTCCGGCCCGGCAAGGTCCCGAGTCCCGAGCCCGTTGGTGAAGGCGAGGTGCATGCATCTCCTGATCTTGTTGGCGAAGTCGTGAAGCTCGTGCGGGCCCTTGTGGAGAGCAACCGAGTGCTGCATGGCGCCTATCAGGGCCTCCACGAGCCCCAGGGGGTTCAGACTCGTCTCCTTCCCCTCCAAGTGCGCATGCCACATGTCAGCGACGGTGCCATGGGAGGCCTCGAACTCCTTGATCAGGCTGCCGTCGTCGTTCTTGCCGATGAGGTTCGACGTGATGAAGCCCGGACTGCGATGGATCTGCGCGATCTCGTCCGTGAGCATGTCCCCGTCGTAGTTGTGCGCCGCCATGCCGAACCCTCCGCCGGTCCATCGGATGATCTGCATGGTGGCGGCGTCTGATATGAGATGCTGGAGCTCTCCTCCCGTCTTGAGGATGAGGCCTCTGCCCAGAAACTCTGCCCTGTAGTGCTCGTCAAAGACCTCCTTGAACTTGAGCCAGAACGGCTCCTGCCACTTGAACACAGTCTTCTTGGTCACAACGTAGGGGGTGACCTCTGCCTCCAGGCACCTCTGAAAGAAGATGTGAGCCATGTCCTCCACGTTGTCCAGCGGGTTGTGGTAGGTGACGACAGCGTTGGACTTGTTGTCCAGCTGACGAGAGTCAACCACAATCGTCTTGCCGTTCTCAGCAGTGAAGATGGTATTAAGGACCCCGCTCCCTACCGTGTCGTATCCTGCTCCGTACTCTCCTCCTACAGCATGCCGCTCGAAGAGGACAGGCTTCTCAAAGCCGAGCTTCAGTCCTTCGATGTGGATGGTGTCCCTGGAGATAGTAATGCCGTTCCATCCCCTCCTCATTGCGCCGTTGGGCGACGGGAGCGCCTTCTTGAGGCCCATGGACTTCCTCTGCTCGGCTGACGGGGTGACCGTTGGCTCCTTGAAGATCGACCCAACCCTCTTGCCGGCCTTGACGGCATCGCGAAGCACCTGGTCGTCCGTCTCGTCTCTGGACTTGCAGCTCAAATCGAAGAATTCCCATTTCGAGGTGTCAACATGAGGATAAATCCACTTGTCAAGGATGAGGTCCATACAGTAAGTTGTCATCTCCTCTCCTCTGATGTACACCATCTCGGGAGATACCATCTTGTCGCCTGCACCTTGGCTGAAGAACCGTCCATGGCGCGCCGAGAACCCGTTGAGAACAGCTGAGAGGTGTTTGCCGGTTGTACCCCGTTGGAGGGAGGCAAACTTGTGCTGACGTCTGCCACTCGAGGAGGCTTCTGCTACACAGAGGAGGCGAGATGGCATGAAGGAACAGACGCCATTGAGAGCATGCGACAGCGATTTCCTCCGCGCCCCTCCCGCCACCCTGCAGACACTCCACTGTACCCTGTGCATGTGCGCGCTTTTAACACATGTAAAAGGGATTGTATTTTATAAAGTAGTGATACCCATTTGGCAGATGGTACCAAAGTTGTACGAATAAAGAATATATAACCTTTTTATAGACCTTATTACTATTTTTCCTGGCTACGTCTATTGCAATTTTAAAAAATGGGAAAAGGTCTTTTCCGGGTCCGGGTCCGACGAGTCGGAGGCTTCAAGTATCATACCGGCCACTGACGGTGGCCGGGCGGCGGCACCGTCACCGGCCGGGCCGCGGGCGGTGCGGTGACCGTCACAGTGAGCGGCCGCCGGGCCTCAGTCGAAGGGCCGCCCCGGCCCGGCACCGTTCACCGGGGGGGCGCCGGGCGGTCCGATACGGTACTGAGTACGGTCGCCGCGGCCGGCCCCCGGTCCAACTTCTGGCGTTCCCGGCCCCGAGGCTGAGTCACCCGGAGAGTCCGAGTCTCCAGTCACCGGGTCGGAAGGACTGAGCAGACTCCCGGACTTGGGCCCGGATTGAACTTTGCGGCCTCATTGAAGCCGCTCTGACGAGTCGGCCCTCGGGACCTGAACCCTCTAGACCCTCAGGCCGGCGGAGGGTTTATAGTAGAGGGTGACTCCGTGGACGGCCGGGCGTACGGGCCCGGATCGGCGACTCTGGCACACTGACACACCGTACGGTACGGTTGCGCCGGCACTCAAAGTTTACAACTGACAAAGGCAACAAAAAAAAGATCAGTCATTGGTAGGCTTGCGCCCCCTCAACGGCTGGAGTACGACAGAGAGGTCATAGCAAGTTCTTACTCTGTCTAGAGTGGGGTCCTACACTCCTAGGTTCCATATATGGCTCCCAGTGATTTCAAAATCGGTCCTAGGAAGTCCTATGAAGGTACGGGGTCTTTAGGGTCTCAGTAGGAGGATGTATCGTGGATCATCTCTCATCATGAATTTTTGAGGCTCCAGCTCAATGGTGGGGTGGGTAGTATTTCATTGGGGTGGTAAGACGTCAGTCTGGTACAATTGAGATTGTTTGAGGAGGTAGGGGAGAATAATTCGAATTTTCACAGGGTGGGTGCATGGTAACTTGCAAAGTGCGCTTTTTTAAACCCGAAGGGAGTCGGGGCAAGGTCCAACACAGAGCCACCCGCCATGACGGAGCAGCGCCAAGACAGCTACACCATCCCTGTTCAGATGGACAGCAGCTCTGTAGAGCTTTCTCAAGCTCACATCCTGTGAGCAAGCCTTGTAGAAAGATGACAACACTGACACTTTCACCTCCTAGGGCTCATGGGGCGTCCTCGGCTAGCTCACTGGCGTACCAGTCTCTGAGAGTAAAACCAGCTACTATCGCATGGAAGGATCTCACCTATGACGTCAAGCTCACCCGCGCGAACCCTCAGACCGGCAAGAAAGAAACCATAGACAAGCGCATCCTTGATGGCCTCTCGGGCATCGTTCGTCCTGGTGAGATGCTCGCCATCTGCGGGCCGTCGGGAGGCGGCAAGACGACCCTGCTCGACGCCATCGCCGGAAGGATCGACCCTAACCGCAAGGGGAGGAAGTTCATGGGAGATGTACTGGTCAACGGCAAGCTCAGAGACGAGACCTTCAGCATGGTGGCTTCGTACGTGCAGCAGGAGCACGCGCTTCAGACGCCCTTCACAGTCAAGGAGACGATGCGGTACGCAGCAGACCTCCTCATTCCTCACTCAGAGAGCACACCTGAGGAGAGGAGGGCGAGGGCAGAGAACGTGACTCACGTTCTCGGGTTGGACTCGTGCAGCAACACCATCGTGGGAGACGTGTTTCGCAAGGGACTCAGTGGAGGCCAGCTTCGACGCCTGTCGATCGCAGTGGAGCTGGTGCGAAACCCCTCCATCCTGCTGCTGGACGAGCCGACGTCAGGCCTCGACTCAGCTGCTGCAGAGAACATCATGAGTCACTTGTCTCACCTCGCCAAGATGGGGACGACGGTTGTGTGCACCATTCATCAGCCTCCTTCCGAGGTGTGGGCCAACTTCGACAAGTTTCTCCTGCTGTCCAGGGGCAAGTGCCTCTACTTTGGAGCCGCTAAAAACGCCGTGGACTATTTCTCGAGGATGGGGTATCCCTGCCCCAGCCAGTCGAACCCTGCAGATTTCTTCCTCCGACTCGCCAACACGGACTTTGAGGGGCATGCTGATATCGAGCTCCTCGCAAAGCTATTCAAAGAAGAGCCGGAGGGCATGGCGTTGACGTCAGCACTTGCCCGCCCCATTGAGCATGCTATCAGCCCTGCCAGTCACAGGAACGGCTTCATGACGCAGCTCATGATCTTGTCTCATCGCGCCTTCTTCAACAATGCGCGCAACCCGGGTATTTTTCTCGTCCGACTCGTCATGTACATCATGCTCTGCCTGCTGATGGGCTTCATGTTCTGGAACCTTGGCCATGGTCCCACAGACATCAACAGTCGCGTTGCTCTCCTCTTCTTCGTTGCTGCTTTCTTGGTGTTCATGTCTGTGGCAGTGCTGCCCTTCTTTATCGTGGAGAGAGCTGTGTTTCTGCGCGAGAGGGCTAATGGCTGGTATGTGGTGCCAGCATATGTGCTGGCGTCTTTCTTCATGTCGTTGCCGGGCCTTTTCATCATCTCCTTGGTCAGCACTATCCTTGTGGTACTTCCTGCCGGTCTCAACGGCTTCGGAGTGTTCCTTGCGGACCTCTTCCTCTCTCTTGTTACAGCCGAAGCCTTCATGTGCGTCATTGCCTCCGTCGTTCCTCATTACATCATCGGGATCGCGCTAGGGGCGGCAGTGTACGGCTTCTTCATGTTGTGCGAGGGCTTCATGAAGGTCAAGAACGACATCCCTGACTACTTCATCTGGGGGTACTACATGGCATTTCATACCTACTCGTTCAGAGCTTTCATGGTCAACGAGTTTGAGGGCATCAAGTACTTTGACAGCCCTCAGTTTCACAATGGAAAGGAAGTTCTCGTCTTCTACAACATGGAGGATCATGCTGTGTGGAAGGACTTGCTGGTTGTTGGAGGCTGGGCAATAGGTCTTCAGGTCCTCTTTGGAAGCATTCTTCAAGTGTTCCACAAGGGCAAACGGTAAGCAGAGCACCAGGCTGCCTAAAATTGTGATATAGACTTGGTTGCAAGCTCCATGGACCTTTCTCTTAGATTTGTTTGATTGCTTACAGCTGCTGCCAGCTGCTCATTTTCTCACTTGATGTTTGACTGATTAAACTCACCAGTAAAACAGAGATATTTGTTTCTCCTTCCTTCTCTCAATCTCCATCAACCGTGCGACCTAGTCTCACTAGCCTCAGATTTGATCTGCGTTGCGCAGCGTAGAGAAATGATCACTCAATCAATGATTGTAAATTTTGATTAACTCAGGCGGGGCTACCTCAGGTACATCAATCAATAAGCACCAACTGTTTTGATCATCAGCAGAAATGTGCCAACATTCATGAAAGCTGAAATCGTGGCTGGGGGACAATTGCAAAACACGAGCAAGTCCATCAAGCATGAAAAATTTCACACGCTAGAGACACCATGTGTGGTCACGAGCTGACCATTCTGTTCTGACTTCCATGGCGCTGGAACTTCATGATACGATGCGACGGCAGTTCGAATATGAGATGATTTGAAATGGTTCTGGAATTGGTTATTTTCATTCAAAGATCAAAGGAATACAGCCTATCTTACAGAAAAGGATTGGGAACATGTACATGAGCTGTGAGAAATTCTAGTCCGTATTCAGTTTCAAATCCAGCTCCCCGATAACATCGGCAACGAAGTGAGCGTGCGAGGTTCTTCTCTTGCGCAAGGCTGTCAACACCTCACAAAGCCTGCCGTCTTGATCTGCTGCATCCAGAACCTCCTCGGCAATCTTGGTGCACCTGCTGCTTACACGACTGGTAGCGTTGGATACATTTCTCCCTTTCTCCAGACTGATGAATTCATGGCCACGAGGAAAGATTAGATCAACATTGGTTCCAAAGATTTCATGAAAGCGCTTTGGATCCGCCGGAGCAATGTTGCCTGACGGTTGCTCGGATTCTATGTCTGGAAAGGAAAAATCCTTTGATGTAGATTTCCAGTCATCCTTGTCAGCGGACAAGATCTCTCGGACAGCTCCTCCATGGATCAGATTCATCTTTGTCCTCGAGATTTGGAGATTTCGATTTGGGACAGCAATATCAATCACAGGTCAATAAAGTCACAAGCCAATTTCGAACGAATACAGGAAAGTTTTGCTTTGTTGAAGCCTTATGAAGCAAATTTGTTGGGACGGGATGCACGAGAGCTTGCACGGTACGTCAGGATGTTCGGTCAGGAAGTTCGGAGGGGCGAGCTAGGGAAACGAAAGAATGTGAGGGGATGGGAGAGCTCCGCAGGAAAGGCGTTGCTTAGCTGTTCGTAGGAAGACAAGCCCGCTGCCGTGACTCATTTTAGTCCTGCAGGACGGTACCCCACCCCCTTTTCCTTTGACAATCTTTTATTTCCAAGGGGTTCTCTCGGCTCTGGCAGGTGCAAAAGGCAGGAAAGTTTGGAAGTGTTTCCAGTTCTCTCTGCTACCCCCTAAATCGTGGTGAAAAGCAGGGGTCCTTCCGGCCTTAGAGCTGTACGGTTGCGCCGTGACCTACTAGAGCCTTCTACCGCGTCTGCGGTACGCAAGTTTATCTAAAATTTGAGTTAACTTTGAGTAATAACTATTACTTATTGTCACGCCGATGCAGTGCCGCACGGTGGCACACTAGTGCTGCCGGCCCGGCCGCAATGCGCAAATATGTAACGGTTTTGTAACGTATGTCACTTCACAAGTTCAGCCGTCATGGGCAGATTCTTCAACCTAATCATTTGATGTGACGCGCATCAGTGAACATCGAAGAAACACACGTGTTATAGTAGCTCGTCATACATAAAAGCGTATCAAGAGCACTAGACGTTCATCTGATACCAACTAAAGCTCTTCTATGGAAGTGACGCACTGATTCTTGTTGTTTGAAAGTATCTTTGCGTGTTGTAATCCTTTGAGTAGTTGAAGAAATTGATGTGACCAGGCTTTCCCCAAAATGATTGAATCCTTGAGTTAAAAATTGATTTTCAGACTTACATCTTGAGCTTCTGATGAGAAATTCTGCAGTAGCATAGTGTATGCATGTTGTGACCAAACAGTGTAATACGAGATCGTTGTGAAATATTGGTGTTGGCCAGTCAGCTACATGATCACCCTGCAAAGATTGGTTCTCATGTGAATCTTAAGCTGAATGCTATTGTTACAGGATGTTGCACAATCTCTTTGCAACCACGACGATGCTGAGCGGCGAACAATGGGACAAGTATGGCTGGGCAGAGAGTGGGCGAGATCCGAGAGCCAAAAACCCGCTGTATCCGGTTGCTCTCTGCTGTAGATGGAATGGAATCTCATAATTGTCTTTATTCTGGTACAGGTTGGTGACTGTACTCCCCACGCATACCATCAGGTTGCAAGTCGCGACTTCGCGATTTCACAGTTCTCACAGCATTTTCTAGGACACCTGGGTTCCCACCTTCAAGACAACTGGTACTTGCCCCGGTATCATGTGATAGATCGAAATGTGCAACATTAACCTATGAGACAGGAGGTATGAACCTCCCCAACGAGAACAAGTGGAAAGATGTTTGGCGGGTTGGCGCTCAGGTCATTCGACAGTGTGCTTTTGTTTCATAAGACAATCTGACTGATTCGCCTGTAGAATCACATGGGGGGATATGATGGGGTGGACAAAACAGGGCTCAATCCATAAATGTACCATATATTTTTCCAAAAAACTTCAATTCGAGCAATAAACGAATAGTGCTTGTTGATTTGCAAGGTGTTTGGAACAATTCTTTGTGGAAATCTTGCATGCCTCGCCCTCACAACATGAATGTTTCTAGTCAAACAAACCGAATCCCATGTCGCCGTCAAGCGAGTCGCTGGAAGACTCCTTTTTCTGTTTGACAAGTCAGAATCCACAACACATCACTTGATGTCAAGGTCGACCTCAGCTCCCTTTGCCTTGGTCTTTGCATCGGCCTTGTCTGCAGGTTTGGTTCCTGCATCAGCACCTTGCGGAGCTTGAGACGCTCCACCGCCCCCTCCCTGCTGGGCAAGATACTGGTCAATCTTATCGTTCTCCAAAGCCTCCTTTCTGGCCCTGAAGAGAAAGTGAAACAAAGAATGTCGAAGCTAATTTCGCATACTTTTCGAGGAGTTCTTGAATGTCTTTTCCATTTAACTCCTTGACAAGATGGTTGATTCTGTCTTCCTCAACCTGATCTCAATCAGCATGAGAGTTGTATTCAACCAATGAGTTACTTTGGCATTCACTGAATTGAGCACTTTTGTGACATCCTCGAATGTCGGGGTATCGTTTCCACCCATTCTGCATAGCAGATATGCTGCCATCTGATCCATTCCACCACGCAATCGCATAACATTCGAGCTCTGCATGCCACTGTTGATGATGCCACCAGGTGCAGCCCGATGAATGTATTCATTTCGAAGCAGGAGAGTTTGCTTGATTGGCTGCGCCCACAACTGTTGAAAGCATACCAATACCAAAAGAGCGAACAAATATCTTTGCATGGATGTGTGTCTTGAATCTGCAATGAAAATGTTTCACCAGTGAAGATTATAGAAGAATTGACAGAAGATCATGTCAATAAATACCTCAAAGAAAAGACTATTCAGTCAAGAGGAGACTTTTCACAACAACGAAGCAAGCTCAGTCGTTTGCAGGCAGGCTATCATGGAAAAGACAATCAACAACACTATCCTCTAGCGGTCAAGTAATACTTTTCAGTTTCTTGGCTTTTTCTCGCTGAGAAGAATCTTGGTACGGTGGGGGCTATGAGCTCCCACTTGATAGAAAGTCGCTTGAAGATGGTTTCCACCACAGGAAGGTACCAGAATGCTCGATCCTGTTATGGCGAGCAGAGCAGAGCAGCACAAGCGCGGTCTACGATCGACGGGGAAAGCAACCAGGCGGAGGCCACCCCATCCTCACATCTCCACCCTCCGAAAAGTATAGGGTGGGGGTACAACTTTGAACCAGAAGGGAGGAAGGAAGGTGGGTATTTGTAGGTATCAAAGACGGTATTTCAGGCAGTGGGTACAAAATACCAGGGTTATGTTTTTTTCGATAAGACAACCTGAGAGGGGGTAGTATTTCCAACCGTGCCAGTGCCGACGCGGCCGCGGGACGCCAGGCCCGGGCCGCCGGGCCGGGCGGCAAGCCTGGCCGGGCCTGCGGCCCACCGTGGCGTGGCACCCGGTGACCGTGAGGCTGCCACGGTGAGTCCGTCGGAGCGCGGCCGGGCCGGCTCGGAGCAACCGCGGACGCCCGGGTGCGGCGGCGCCGCGCCGGGCGGCGGCCCAGGCACCGCCGCCCCAGCCTGCCAGTGCGGCAGTGCCTGAGTGCGGCACGCCGTGACGGCAGGCCGGGCCCGGGCGGCCCCCCGGTCGGACCGGACGGTCGGTCCGATCAGACCCTTCGAGGCTCCGACTAAGTGAAAGCCGGCGGGTACCGAACTTCGGAATCGTCGGAACCCGGCCCGGCGTGGGCGCCGGCCGCCGGTCTGTCACCGTCGTACGGTACTATGATCGGCGGTCACTGAGCCCCCGGCCCCGCCGGGGCCCCCGGCCGGATGATAACCGCGGCGGGAGGCGGCGGGCCCGGCGATCAGTGAGGGCCCGAGTCCGGGCCGAGCCGGGCGGGGGGGCCGGGCCGGGCTGGCACTGCAGTCAGCCTTGCCCCCGGGCGGCGCGACTGAGTCACATGGCCGCCGCAAGTTTGAAACTCAGTTTGACTGAGCCGGCCCGGCGGCGCGGCGGGGGCCGCCGCGCGCCGCCGCCGTTAAGTTCCGGCCCCGGCGGGAGCCTCCGGCTGGGCCGGGTGGCGAGTCCGAGTCACACCGGGTCAGGGTCACCCGGCGGCCGGCGGCGTCACTATGGACCCGCCGGCCCGCCGGCCGGACGTGACTCCGAGTGACTGCCCTCGGAGTCAGTCAACGGGCCGCCGGGCCCGGGCCGGGCGGCGGCCCGCCGGGCCGCACCGTCCGTGAGTGTCACGGCCAGATCGGACACTCACCGTCCGTCCCGGAGTCCCGGCCGGCCCGGAGTGGGCGCTGAGTGCGGCCGCGGCCACGGTGGCCGCCGGGGCCCGGCCCCCGGCGGCCCGGAACCCCGCGGCGCGGCCGCGCATACCGTACTGTACGGTGCCGCGGCCGCCACAGCCGGCAGTGACTGGAAGTCCACGCCGCGGTCACTACGTTCGGAAACTTCCCACAGTGCGCTCCGGCGGAGACTGGAGCCAATGGCTCGGATCATCGGATCATTTATTCTGCCCAAGAAGTTTCTGACACGTTGCTAACATCGTGGACAAGTTCTGTATTCTGGCGTTAAGATCGGTCTGGCGATTGGCTTCAAGTTCCGCTGCAAGTTGATGCGCCGATCGCAAGCCGATTACACTGTCTGTCGCCATTATGTTCTGTTGCAAGCTTCCTCTTTGACCTCCTGCAAGCCCGTCTTCACTCCCTGACGAATGAGTGCTCCTTGCCTCGAACATTGTGCTACATCTACCTTGTAACCCCAACCCTGGTTCTTGACTGGGCGAATGCAAAAGTCCTAGAAATCCCGTCGGGCTGGCATTAGCAAGGTTAGCTTGCTGGTAGCTAGCCTGCTGGCAGAACGTTGAGGGGAACATCGCGGAGTCAGCAGTTGGTCTGAAGCCTCGTGCCTCCATTGCAAGATGAATGCAACTGGTGCTGAGAAGGATCTGCTGCTGCTTCTGCATGATTATTTGCTGCTGCTCCGTGAGATGCTTGAGCAGACCTGCAATCTGTGCAATTGCCTCAATATCCATCTTGCCCTGTTTGCCTCGTACTTCTGCCTGACTTTGTCCTGTCATCAGAGCGTGCTTGCGGGCGATTACTATGTTTCGTATCTCCCGACGATGCGGCCGACGGGCAGCTTGAATTAGACCCCGAATCTGAGCACAGGTCCTTTTGCTCATCATTGTCGCTCGATTTCCTGTCCTCCATGCTTCCTTCGCTGCTTCTTTCCCTGGGTGGTTGCGCCCCCGCTATGTGGTCCGACCTATCGTCGGGGCAGCCGTCAGAGGACGTTGATGCAGTGGACTTGCTAGGAAAGCTGGAGGTTGAGCTCCTCGAGCCTTGAAGAAAATCATCATGTAACTCGGGTCCACGCTGAGAGCTTGACCCATCCGAGCCGTCCTGGGGAGACTTCGTCCCAGAATTAACCATACTGCACACAGTGCTCGTCTCTGATTCCGAGGGCGCTGCTGAATGCTGACCTCTGGCCTGCTCACCCTCGTTACAAACCTTTGAAGACTGGCGAGTTAAATCGGACGAGCTGCCTTGCACATCGGAAAGCTTTCTTTTCCTTCCCTTCAGCCTCTTGTCCTCCTTGTCCGACTGTTGGACCTCCACCGACCTTAGCTCTTCTTCCGTCCACATTGTCCTTGTTGCCTCCGCCCATGTCTTTCGGTTCCAGATGTCGCGCACAGTCTTGGAGCTGATGCCATACTTCTTCGCCACATACACGCTCTCCACAGTAGCAAAGCCGGTCTTGAGGGACCTCTCCGCGAAGATCTCTGCTGCAACCTGGGAGGAGAGAGTCTTCTTGCGAGGGTTTCGTTGGGTGTGATGGCCAGCATCGTCGGCCTGATGCTCGTTCGTCATGTTTCTGTTGTCTCTGGCTGCCATTTTGTCCTGTTTGGTTCGTCGCACCTGCGCACCCCACTCCCTCAAGGAGGGGGGGTAGGGAAGGGTGGTGGAGCAGGGTACCCTGTGAGGGATCTGTGATCAGTCTGAAGTGCAGAGCTATCGAAATTTAATTATAGACGGAATTGAAGAATCTGCTATGTATGAGTAGGGGGCTATGCAAAGTGGAAGTTGGACCATGGGACAAGTTTTACGGATGTACGAAAAAACCATCTATTTCATTGGGAGGATTGAGGAAATCTTTTGTTTTCAAAAGAGAGACAAACCGGTATTTAAGAAATAACCTCTTTTCGTAAATTCTCCAAGTGTAACGGTGCGGCCAACTAAAAATCTCCCCATAGCCCTGCTTTCGATGTCAGGGCTGACCCACCTCTACATAGAAGATGATTCGATTCTCTCCATAATTGAAAAGTGACGACCCCGATCCTCCTAGCCGTAAAGTTCCTCAAATGTGTTGACTCATAGCACTCAAAGAGATCATCAACCTCATCAACGTTAACTCATCTGAGTCAAAGTTGAACAACTGTACTCTCAGGTTTTCACGCGTGGCCCAGAGGTCCAGATTCCCAGAACCTGTTTGAAATCTATTTCAATCATACATGTTTTTAAAGGTAAAATTGTCACGATCGTGTCACGGTCTTTTCCCGCCCGAGCCCGTCGTTTACATTGGGTGGTATAGGAAGGGTTAGATATTTCTTGATTACCATTGTATGTATTGCGGCATAGAACGGAGCTTGGGCTAGGCACATTTAAAGTCCGGTCAGGACCCCACCTCCTGATTCTATCGGTGGGCCCCTGTGGGGGTGCAATTGCCCTGCTGACAAACTCGACCACAACGGTTCACCATCTCGACCTTTGGGAATAAAAGTCACTTTTATGCCACTGGTCCAGTTGATTTCAAATTTATTGAGTAAAATTAGTACGACGAGCACTGGGAATCTGGACCTCTGGGCCACGCGTGAAATCGGAATGCACACAGCGGGCCCGCCTCATGCGAGGCACCAAAGTCTGAGTGACCCTGTTGTCCTCCGGCCCCGGGCCGGGACCTCAACACCAGCGCAAGCCGCTTCATCTTCAACAACAATGCAGCAGGTCCAAGGGAACTGACCATCTCGCCCCTTCCCCGTGTCCTCCTCTCTCCCCTGTCCTGCCTCTCCCCTCCCTTCTCGCTCTTTGATTCCTCCATCCCATCCCCCTTCTCTTTCCCTCTTCGCTCCCTGTTCTCTTCCTAATTGCCTTTACCCTCCTGGATATCTGCCATTTCCCCGATATTGCGAGCACAATACGTGAATATGAGCACTCGCGAAACCCAACGTGGTGAGAGCATTGAAGTTCGAAGTCCGCCTGCTACCGCCTTTCTCCCCAGCGTCCAGCTGCCAGACTTTGCTTCTCCTCAGGGGAGAACTTCACGGCCAGTCGAAGAGCAAGCGCTGCCTTTGGTCCGTGACTATGACGAAAATCACGCTGGGGAAGAAGGAATAGAGCAAAGGCAAGGAGGTGACTGGAAGAAATCCGAAGGTAGCAGGAGTGGGTTGATGACACATTCATTGTCGGAAGTCAACAATCAGAGTGGAAAGCTTGAAGATAGCCTAACAGTGCTTGAAGTTCTGCATGACATGCAATCTCGCCTTCGGTTTGACATGAACCGGAGTCAGATACTGGAGTTCTGTCTTCTCTCTTCATCCCTGGTCGTCGACAGCAACTTCTTTGAGCAAGACGTCAAGCAGCTCATCATAGATGCGTGGAACGCGCAGACTTCCGTAGCACAGGTGCGCCACCTTCCACAGCGAAATCCTCCTGCCTTCCTTCTCCAAACTGATAAGGATATTTGTGTCTAGCTGAGGGATATCCGCTTCGTCATGTCAAAATCTGAACCCGTTGTGAGTGCTCGCTGTCGTTGGTTGGGTCATCGGACGCTGACATTAGCCGCAGGTTTTGATCCGTCAGGGGGTCATTCTTGTCAGTTTTGACCCCATCAAGGCTGTCATCTCCTGCAGGTATCACTTTGCCCGCGTCTCTTTTCTCCTTACTTGCTTGCTCGGTCAGCAAATCTTTTGTTATCATACCAGAAGGGGCCGACGAGGTATGCTAGCAATGTGTGTCATGCGTGAAGGATTGTTGCTGAATTCCGCCAAGGTGCTGGAACCTCTCAAGCGGCGTCTTGCTTCCGCTCAGAACGATACAAAACTGGTGAAATAGTGACATGCCGGAGGCGGTATGGTGCAGTGAATCATGCTCTTGATGATGGCAGAACTCCATCCCTTTTGAGTTCTCATGCTTGGAGGCAATTTTGATCACCCTCGCAGCTTTGAAGAAGAGGGATGTGAATCACTGCCTGCAGGTGCGTCTGACTGCCTCCATTTTTTCTTTTTTCTGCATGTCATACGCTACTCCAAGCTTTTCTCTCCTTCCTTTCTTTCTTTCTTTCTTTCTTTCTTTCTTTCTTTCTTTCTTTCTTTCTTCTTTTTCCACACCCTCGTATTATTGGCAACTAACAATTATGGAAACAAGACTCTTTTTAACTGTCGATTCCCGCAGGAAGGCAAGACCATTCTGAGACTGGTGCGAAGGAAAATGAGCAGCAGGCTTCTTAACAAGATTTTGGCTCTGAAGAAAAAACTTTCAGAGGTGATTGAATCCTTGTGAGGACGTCCAGACATCTCACTGTATGCTGTCAAAGACCTATGAATCCGTGGTCGGTTGCGTGAATGCTCTTGAAGAGGTTCAGGTATTGTCTGGCTTCTTGTGAAGGCACGGAATGACTTGGTCTGGCTGTTGAAGGACTCGGACACCTTGATGTCGCTCATGTTGGTATCTTAGATCTCTTTCTAAAGTCTCACGAGTTTTGCCAGGTACTTGACCCAAATCAATCACAACCCTCAATCCTTTCTTGAGGCGCTGCGACAAGAAAGTTGGAATACAGATGAGGTCTTATTCTTCTTCAACCCCCATCTGCCCCTTGGAATTTCTCACATTCACTATGTGTTTGCGATTTTCTCTCCGACACCCCAACGCTTTCATTGTCGTTCAACTCTTCAGTTGTCCCTTTTGCTTCTTCTTACTCGCAAATTTACAGGTAGAGCTGCTGCTGGACTCATACTCTCAGGACCTGTCTGCCATGGCTTCCCAGCTCAACCTTCTCGACCAGGAGGTTACATTGCCGTTCGCCCACTTTGCTCCCTCTGATGTGCCCTAGATCGAATCTACGGAGGCGCTTCTAAAGCTGAAGTTGGATACGGCAAGGAATACTTTGATCAAAGTAGAATCCTCCAAGTTTTACTGATCGTAGCAGCGCGCTGACTTGTGTACAGGTTGACGTTTCCTTCGGCATCGCGTCCCTGTGGCTCACAGCCTGCAGGTCAGCAAGTCAGCAGTCGGTGTTCCGATACCTCTTAATGACTACCGAATCTTGCAGCCTGATCTCTGGCTACTATGGGATGAACTTACAGAGCGGCCATCAGGCTGACGTTGACAATCCTCTTGGTACCTCTTTGGAAGTTTAGACCCGCCTCTCATCTGTTTCTGCTGCCGCAGGTGGCAGCGGACCGAGTGCGATGTGGCTGGAGGTTACCATCATCTCATCAGGTGAATGTCTTGCGCATGCGCTTCATCTGCTCCTCTCACTCTTGTCGCAGTCGGCTGTATTTGTTTGATCGCTTGCTCGCTTGTCTCCCTTTGGTGCTGCGGCCTGTTTAGAAGTTGACGCCTGGACTCGGCGATGGAGGCTCGGTGGCTTAACGGAGCCTCGGACACTGACACGCCGGGGCGGGGCACTGCGGCGCCGCGCACTGGCAACTTGCCAAGTTGAAACAGTGAAGAGTGGCAGCCTGGCGGCCTCAGACTGTCCGGGGAGTCCCGCCTGTCCCCGGACTCGGACTCAGTACAGTATCATCATGAGTGCGAACTGTGCAGTTCCGGGGCCTCCGCCAGTCATCCTGGCCGCCGGGGCGGCGCGGCGGCCGCATGGGCCGGCAGTAAACTTGAAACTTTTGCCAGGCTTTTCGACTCAGGCTTCGGCGGCGACTCACCGGGCTAGCACACTGAGTCCCGGCGACTCGTCACAGCCTGTCACCGTCACTGCCGCAGTGCTCAGGCTAGCCTTGCCACGTGACAGGTTGAGCCTACGGTACTATCACACTCCGAAGGCTAGACGGTGGCAGCCTGGTACCGTGCCACCGTGCCACGGTGCTTTTACGCGGCCGCGGAGCCTGTCAGTGCCGACCGGCGCCCGGCGCTGAGCGGCGGTCCGGCCCGGCACGCCGCCGCCGGCCGCTTAGCCTACGGCACGGTCGGACTAGCCTGGGCCAGGCTGCCAGCCTCGGACTCCCCGGAGCTCGGCCCGCCGCCGGGGGCGCGGCCTGGCGGCCCGGCGCCCGGCGGCCGCCGTGCCGGTGACAGGCTGGCGGGCCGGGCGGGCCGGGCCGGCAGCCTGGGCCGCGGCCGCGGCCCTGACCACCACCTCAGGCCGCAGTGGTGAACTTGACTCCGAACGGGGGCCGGCTGGGGCGTGGCCGCCTGTCTGATCCGATCGGCGGCGCCGGGGCCGCCGGGGCCAGGGCCCCGCGGGGCGGCCGGCCTGCCCGGCCTGCCGAGTCCCCGGCCCGGACACGCCTGATCAACGCCGGATAGAAGCAGTCACTTTGATTGCTGATGACGGTTACTTTGATCCAACGGTTGTGCTATTTCTGTAGGGCCTGAAGAAATGGGCAGGCGACGGAGTCACATTGCCGCATGTGCTTAGAGAGACTTTGAGTCTAGAGCTGACAGACATACGACCCATGTGTTTGTGATAAGTACCAACGTCATGACACGGCACATATGTCGTGTGTTCTGTTAACATTGTGGTGGTTTGTATCGAGAAGTACATTCTTGGACCGATAGGAAAAGCATTTCAAGCTGAAAAAGGGCGGTGTTGCTGCATTGAGCGTAAGAGTGTTCCATATTGGAAAGATTTTTGCACGATTTTCTCAATTCGAGTGTAGAATCAATGAACGCTGAACAGATCGTAGAGTGCTGCTAGAGGGGGCATTTTCATTGCTCAACCAATATATGTTTCACTTTACATCATAGATATGTAAATCGATTTCTTCGTCAGAGATTCTCATAGCCATACCACTCAAGAGATGATTTGGTGATGTCTAGAACTGATATTGCAGAGCATTGGCTTGCTGCATGTTGCTGCCTACTCTCAGACAATGAGCATTGCTGAGAGTTGCTCTCAATCTGCTGTTTTGATCAAGTCCTGTTTTTTCCTTCAGAATGTTTAGCACCATCCGACAATGCCAAGAGCTCGTGGAAGGTTTCAACGGGCATCAAACAACGATGCTTGCCCTGGGGTAATTGCTGCGATTCCAACCAGAATACGTGACATAGGTTATTTGATCAGTGACTCTGGGGAGGCATTCAATCTTCAGGACTATGCTGACAAGTATACTGAGGCTAGAGACGCATACATCACGGTACAAGAAGCACTTTCATCTTGCTGTAAGTTTGTTCTTAATGCTGCTGTAGGCGGCTGAGGCCCTCAAGCTGGCCACTGGTCCCTACCAGGCTGCACGCGATGCCTATGTTGCTGCTAGTGAGTGTTTCCGTCCCGATTCTTGTCCCAACACCTAACACTATCCACAGCTGCCACCTACACCAAGGACATGTACGCTTAGAGAGGGTTGTTTTTAGTCGGTGCCAACCTACTGGTATTCTCATTGACACCCCTAGAGTGAATACAGTGGTAAATCCACGGTAAATTCTGACGAAAGAATAACACTCATGGATGAAGTATCTTTTCTTTATTTACAATTTGATTCCTGCATAATTCAGGCAGTATTTGGCTGAACGGTTGCTGCTCCGACATACATAGCGGTAACAGCGGCCAAACTTACAAGTGCTACAGTAAGCATGAGCTCTGCCATCCTTACGATAAATTTGAGAATTGTCAATCTACTTTCCGAATCAAGACAATGTCACCAAAGCCAACCTGATGCGCAAGAGATCAGTATGAACAGCCCAACCTTGAAAAAAGTCTAATACATGCAATAAACACCGAGACAGACAAATGGACAGGCATGTTGCTAGTAATATTCTTAAATACTGCGAGCATTGATTCTGCTTTCGGAAAGGGGTGGTGTGTAAAACGGGCGCACCCGAAAGGGCTACACATGCTGCCAAGCCGTTTCCCAGGAAGGTCAGCAGGTTACATTATTCTACATCTGATTTTCATTTGGAACATTTCATCTACTATTGCGTATTCCGTTATCACTCTCCCAAGTTTCAATCAAACATAAAGTTTCTCATCTCAGACCTGATCAATGTTTTTGTCCTAAGCTTTGGGACACTCCTTTTCCTTTCATCTCATCCCTCGTTCTCGTTCTCGTTCTCGTTCTCGTTCTCGTTCTCGTTCTCGTTCTCGTTCTCGTTCTCGTTCTCGTTCTCGTTCTCGTTCTCGTTCTCGTTCTCGTTCTTGTTCTCGTTCTCGTTCTCGTTCTCGTTCTCGTTCTCGTTCTCGATCTCCTCGTCAACTCTTCTTTCTCCTCCTTGTTTCCGTTCTCTCGCTTCTGCACTTCCTCTTTTGTACGTCAAACAAGTTTCAAAGCATGCATGCTCGTTGAACCTCGGCTCGGTACCAACGTCGCTGAATTTCAGGAGGGTGGAAACTCTGAGTGGGGTGGGTTATTTCCACATGGGGTGTTGATATGACCAGGGGTAGGGTCTCTGATAGGGGACACTTTCTGTCTGGACCGGGTAGCATACTCAACTTGGAAATGGAAGCCTTCAAAAGATGGGGTAGGGGTCAACGAAGGAGGTGGCCAGGGTCATTATGTCTCTGGCGGCAGAGGTATATGGATGTAGCTTTTTACATATGACCATACTTAACATATATACAAGGTTGAGGTAGTTACAGGAGATAATTTCATCCTCAAACTCATTCGAATTGCCAAGTCGCATTGTGAGCAGCGTACCCCCAATGAACACCAAAAACCTACCACCCCACCCTACTGTACAAACCAGTTAGATCCAGGACAAATTCGAACTACCGCCTTTCAATTCATCCCAAACCACCCTACCCTGGAAGATCATACTTTCCTTCTGTACCCACCCCACTTTCCGAACCCCACCCCCAGCTCGGAGGAGGCCGCATCCCCTCCTTTATTCCTTCTACGCCTGGGTTTTAGGAATTTGTTTTGGAAACAACAAAAGAGCTTTCACGAGGCAGCACCGAAGCATCAGGCTAGATTTGCAATCGGAGGATGCCCATAATGCGGCCGGTGGGGAGGAGGCGACCGTGATGGAAGGTGAGCAGAGAAGTTGGTGCACAAGAAGAATCGGCCGCGCGTACATTGATATACAAGGCCGTTACGAACTGAGCAAGCTACAATAGCAAACTTCCATGGCTTCTAGACTTTGATATTCCGATGAAACGAAGATGTTATCACAAGAAAGGTCATCAAATTGAACTTGAGATGTTCTCAAACACAGTCAAGTGAATAGACTCTGCAGATCGTATGTCAATGCTGTTTTTAATCCAAGCTTTGTTGTTTATTCTTTACTTCTCGTGTGGATCAACAATTTCCTTTGCACATTGCACGCCGCATTCAACTGCATGTTTCAGAACACGGGCTGGACAAGGAGCATGGTCTTTATCGTTTGCAACCCCATCCAATCTGGGCCCATTTCATGAATCAAATCAACATCGATTGCTACGAAAGAATCATATTCATTTGTCTTTCCAGCCTGATGTCAAAGTTCAAAGGAGATATACCCTCGAACGGATAAAACCATTGCTAACATTGAAGGGCGCCAACGATCGATGCTGCCCCCCTGGAGGAGAACCAGCAGAAGGCGCGAATGTGATAGAACTACTTGAAAGGTTTTGTTGCTTCCGAAGTGCCTTGGCAGGTGACTTGAGGCTTTCAGACTTGAGCATGAGATGCACAAGAAACTCACAAAAGGAGATCATCATTGCGCATGGAAGGTAGGAGCTGTTTGCAACAACTTTTCCTTGCTACATTTTGTGAAGTGATCTCATATTTGTCAGGCCGATGTGTTTGATGCAAAATCGAAGGCGCAAGACACGAAGAAGATGAAAACCAATCAGATGTTTGCCTCCGCACTGAAGTGGTTTGTTCAGCCTCTTCCCTTTGGAATTTCTGGACATGTCTGTTCTTGATTACAAACGTGCTGCAGATGACTTAGAGATGTGAAACATTGTCTGTGTTTTTTGTTCATTGCTGTACCACTTGATTATGAACGATGCGTTGTTTGACTGCTCTTCGTATGTCACAGGTTGCCAAGCAGCAACGACTCTTTCGTACTTGTCTTGGATGGATCCCAAGGAACAACTTCCAAGGTATTGCACTCCCACGGCGTACCCCTGAACCGAATCTTGGTAAGATGTTTTTGATGCAGCTACCATGCACTGTTTCTTTTCGATCAAGTCATTCTATCCCAGGTCCCGAACATCTATACACACGTCGTAGCATCGCTGCGGGCAATGGGTGTTGTTTCTTACTGCTGCGACATCGAAGAGCTTCTCAAGCAATGGCCGGAGTCTAGTGGGTGCTTGCAGGCAAGGCAGGGATTTTCCCCGCGTTCGCTCAAAGACTTGGCAGGGGATCTGGCTTGATCATTGTGGGTCAGTCAGCAAACGAATCTCTCAAGTTGAGGTTGTTTTTCAAAGAAAACTTCTTCGCTCTCGAGGAGCACTGGCCGTTGCTTTCAGTGCAAGGGACGTAGCATTGAAAGACAGGATCACTCCTATCGAGTTCTGTGCACTGTCGTTGCATTCGATGTCCAAGGGTGATAGTTCTTTTGTTCAGCACTGGCTATGACACTTCGATATAACAGAACATGGTTATGCGATCAAGCCTTGCTTCGAAGACGATGATAGCGTTGCTGAAGATTTGGAGGCACTTCCAGGGCTCATAGACTTCCGGTGTCTTTTTAAATATGACGGAATGTTCTTCATGATCGTCAGGTGATTTCTTTTCTGGCTCTCTGTTTTTGGTCTGACGTTCTTCGCCGACAGGGTGGAGCGTACAGTCGGATAAAAAAGTTGGAAAGAGCAAACGGTCAATGCCGTGATCTTATTGTTTACAAGAAGATACAGGGAAGAAAAATTAAACATGCACATGTTACCAGGATCTTCGATCAAATAATAGTCTCACATCCTCTTGAATCTAATATTTCAGGTAGTGGGCACAACAAACCCCGCATGCTTTGCCTGTTCAAATATCTTGAGAAGCTCCTGAGATTCGTTGCTTGTAGAGGTAGACGAGCTTGAGGGGTTGTCTATCGATGCACACTTCCTTCTCATGCTCCGTGTCATGCGTTCGCAGTGATTGATCACGGTAGCAGCTCGCCTCGGCTTGTGCGATGCAGTTTTCTTGGGTTTCAGAGCAGCGTGGTAACCTTTGGTTGAGCTCACTTCGTTATGCTTCTTTGAAGATCGTAGGGATGAGGAGCGTGTTGCCATACCAACCTCTGCATCGTCACTAGACGTCCGCCGCAGGTTTGCGCTTGCACTTATGGGGGGCTCGTGAAAGTGATTGAGCTTGTGCAGCACGGTCAACAACCGGTCATCCTGAGTTGCTGATTGCCAGACTTCGCCCGAGTTGATCTTGATGGGATTCCGACCTTTGCCATGGAGCTTGCGACACGTTGAGGGTACGTGGGTCCCGAAAAACTGCTCGAAGTCACTCTTGGCAGCTGGTGCTACACCGTTGCTGGGTAGGCAGTAGTGGGTCGACTCTGTCTTGACTGATGCCATGGGAAGGAGGCTCGATCGTTGTTGCAGTATTCAGGCAAGGAGCATTCACTCAGGAGGAGGGATAGCGATAGCTTGTAAGAAGGGCGCGAAGGCAGTAGCTGTCACCCTGCAACAAAACTGATTCACAACCTGTCAACGAAGACTTCTGAGCGTCCGGGGATGAGACGATGAGGAAGAAATCGCCAGTCCTTCGAGTTCAGTAAAATTCCCACCAAGGAAGTGCTTGGCCTAGACAATGGTTGATGAAGGTCTTAAGCAAGTGCAAGCTGATGGGGGTCAAAACCAAAATACACTTCGGAGGCTAAACGGCTCGAGAAGGAGGGAGGGGGGGAAGGGAAGAGAGATCTGTAAAGAACTAGATGAGCATGATGATAGAAGACTTGAGGGTCGGGCAGAGCAGGCCTTGAGGAGGAGGGGGCAGGGCAGGAAGGTAGGGAGGGCGGGGGCGGTGATGAGACTCTGTAAGGGGGCAGCCCAGAAGTAGACGAGGGCGAGGAGAGGAGGGACGGGAGGGTGTGGTTTATGTCGGCAGGTAGGGTACTTGAATCCTGTGGATCTGGAGGTAGGGGGTCATGTAACTGCAAAGTAACCTTGTAGATTGGAGAGGGAAGGGGGTAGGGGGAAAGATAGTTATAATTCGACGTCTATAATGAAATGGCAAGGGGTTGACCCCAATTGGTAGTCTCTGGTTCCGGCGGACGCAAGGGTGTTTAGGTTCGATGGGTAGGCGAAGGGGGTGGGTGAGTGGCGGAGGGGGGGTAGGGTGAATAACCAACAGTAGTAAACTTGATAGGTGCATAATCCAGGACCCCTACCGGAAACACTCATGAAGAGGTTTATTATTTTTTTACCCTCTCACAAGTTTCACCGGCTTCTGTCCTGTTAAACTTCAGAGGTCTCACGACCATAAGGGTTCGCCGGCCGGTGGCGGGCAGTTCACTAGTCTTTTCTGAGCCAGTCGACTACCATGGCGAGTACGCAGGTAGAGGACGGGACGCCGGGGATGGTGGGTAGAGGGACTGGCAGGATTGTAGAAGATTGATGTGCAAGGGCCTCTGAGAGCATCTGAATCCGTTCATTCCTCTTCTCTCCTCACGTCAATGCGTCTTGACACTGCATCATGCTGTTCTGCTCAGTCTGCTCTGACTGTGTGCTTGCTCATGCTCCCCCGTCCAGAAGTTGAAAGGCAACGTGACTTGCCTGTCCATCTTCGACTCGTTTATAGTGCAAGGTGAGACTTGGGGTGTCTTTTCTCTCGTTTTGCTGATTCCGCTCCTGTGGAATTAGCCTTTCTCGACGGCACAACGATAGCGTTCGATGTATGCATCGAGGCAATTCAGGTTTGGAATGACGGAGAGCGCAGTTGGGAACAAGTCAGTCTTTTCCGCTATCCGACAGTGATCCTACTGCCTTCTTTCCCCCGATCTGTCATGGCCATGGAGGAGACTCGTCAACAGGGGCGAGCATGGATGACAAGCGCATCACGTCCGGTCGCATTCGATCCTATCTGTCCTGCTCTCCCCGCTCACAACGCAGCGTGCAGTTGTTACACAGGATGAGATATCAGCGCACTCTATCCCTGTGACCGAACGCGACGCTACCGAGGATGAGGTGTACCTCTCCCTCCTGCACGCTCCAGAGCCTCTGAGCCCTATGGACAGGACATGGAGAGCAAGCCTTTGGAGGAATACGAGCCTGTTGTCTACAGGGGGTAGGGGATGAAGCTGATATCAAGCAAGAAACGCACGTTGCTCACTCTTCCACTTCATCTCAGTTTGGCGTCCGGGTGGCCTGCGCTGAGACGATGGGATTTCGATTACTTCGCTTCAGGGAGAGTTGGGGAGACTACAGTTACGGTAAATGTCTGCACGGACAATGACAGTTGTAGTGAAAACTGGCATGAAGGTTACAGGAAGAGAAGGGAAAAAAACGGCCATGATGCTGAAAGACTACATCTCGTCTTTCAGGAGCTCGCATGGGGCTGAAGGGAACGCGCAAGAGCTTGGTTACCTCAGGCAAGCTTCGAGCCAACTGGGCCCTGCCTGACTGAATTGTGTAGAGGATGGACGTATGAGAAAGACTGCGCGGAACTCGTTCAAGACTTTCAGGTTGGTGAGCAGTCCTGTCCTCTTTCTTCGCTGATAGTTGGGCATGCTCGAACAGATCCCTGGGTGGGCGAAAGACTGGTTCGGTCGGCTACCAGCAAAGGAGGACCCTTGCTTCCGATGGATCTTTGTGGGCCCTGGCGGATCGAAGACCCCGCTGCATGTCGATCCTTGCCTGACGCATGCGTGGCTGGCACAGGTAGGATTTTCGAGCTGAGTGATTAAGAGAGAGGGTTCTGACTTGGAATGGAAAGATTGTTGGTAGGAAGAGGTTTATTCTTTATAGCCCTTCCGCCCTCAGACACTTGTATGATGCTGATGTACAGAAGACAATGCGCTTTCTTTTCTTTTCATGGTCTAATGTCTGGTATAGGGAAAGACGGTTGATGTAAGAGAGCCCAATAGAGAAACGTTCCCAACGTTTGACCAGGCGGTGCCCTACGAGGTGCAGGATCAAACCTTGACGTATTTGTTGTCATGACCATCTCCTTTCAGGTAGTCCTCCATCCTGGTGACGTCATTTTTGTTCCCGCAGGCTGGGCTCATCAGGTGTTCACATACTTCTGATTGTTGAGGTTCGGGGAAATCACAACGCACAGGTTGAGTGTGTGGATGATTCAATCTCCTTGACACACAACTTCCTCCCAAAGCAAAATTTTAGTGCGATCAGAGCGTGCATGCTTGCTAACAGGTGCTTTGTTAAGCAAGGAACGGAGACAGGGTTTGACGTTGAGAATTTGTTTTGAAACAGGCTGGGGAAAGTGGTTGAGGCACAACGAAGAGAAGTCAGTGCTGAGAAGAACGGATCATAAAAGAATGTTGTACATATGTGACCATGATTCTGCTTCTTGATGATGGTGCCGATTTCGGCCGCGAATGTAGAAATGAATGAGAGGATACAGATAGCAGCCATTGCTGTTGTTTCAGAAGACTGGTTTTCTTTTTTTCTTTGCGTGCTCTGTACATGGACAGGTGAAACAATAAGATTGAGGGCTGGGTCTTCCTCATTGCAATTATTTGTCAATCTTGACTCCATTTGGGATCAAATCATACCCAGCCTTCTCTGCAATGTTTCGCAAAGCTACAAGGATCTTCGTCAGGATTGGTCAATAAGGCATGCAGAACCCTTACCAGCGATCATTTCAGCTGTGTTCACTTGCTGCTTGCGGTGCTTCAGATGCTTCTGAGTGGTAGTCAAAACACAACACCCTCTCTACTCACCACCAAACCTGATCTGTTAAGGGATGCGCTACACTTTTCTCTTCCTTTGCTGCATTCGTTTTCTTCCCCGCCGGCTGTACTTGAGCTAGTTTCAGCTTCTTCTCCAGGCTCTTTATCAGCTGATTCTTTTCCTGTTCACCATGATCAGATAATGTGACATCCACGTGCATAATATACCTTCAGCTCTTTCTCAAGTTTCAAGTGTGAACGCGCTGGATGCTGCGGAAACATCATAAGCCATAAAAGCGGCACAACAAGGATCTGAAAGACTTCTAACCACATCATGTGCGAGAGGCGGCAGAGAAGGACGTCTGGACTAAAATCAAGAAAGTAATGCACAAGAGACAGCATCACCGTCGTTGGCTGCCATGAGTATCCTCCTTCACTATTCTCTCGGGCCTCGCTCTCTTGCTGGGAAGGTCGCCGTCTCTCTTGTCCGTAGCAGCGATCCTCTCCTGCCTCCAGCCATCACGGGCAGCCCATCACACTATGTGATTCAACCTCAGCATCCGCAAGCTTCTCCTCCTTCGTCTCCAAGTGCAAGATTTGCTCACTCTGGTCAGGCAAACAGTCAGCGAGCTGAACATCATCAAGCTTCAAATGATGAGGAGCTCACTTACCACGTGTTCTTCGAACTTCTGCAGCTTGCTCTGGAGGGCACCGATTATGTTCTTCTCAGAGTGTGCGGTCTGCAGCATCTTGGTTTCCAGTTGTTTGTCCTGGCGCTCAATCTGCGTCGTCATCAACAGCTTGCGCTAAGAGCTTGACCTACCTGGCCATGAAAAGCTCGTTTGAACTTCAGCAATTTGCCACGAACCGACATGTTCTCCTCCATCTCCAGCTGCACCCACCTTCACAACTCTGCTGTGGTATGGAAGCGAGCAAGGTCACCTTCCTATCGTTCGCAACCTCCCCCTCAGCTTCTGTTCTTCTCTCCGACCTAGAAAGAGTGAAGATCAGGCCATGCCAGGACTGAAGGGGGTGGGTGGGAAAGGTCGGAGAGGAAGGGGGTTTTCGAGGGACGGAAAAGCAAAAGGATGAGGGGGGTGGCTACTTGAGCTCGTTCTCAAACCCACGAAGGAGCCTCGACATCTCTCTGCGTGAGAGAAGAGACGTTGGAGCTCGCCCAGCATTGGGAACGAGGAGCAGGACGCAGACTACACCCGCCACCACAAGCATGGCTGCTGAAATATGTCGCAATTTCCTATCTGAAGCAGCAGCTGTCCTCGTTTTCCCAGCCATCATCCTCTCCTTCGGAGAACTTACTCCCTCAGCACGAAAGTAGTCGAGATGGGTAAGCTGCTTGGTGGTGGTGGTGGTGGTGCTGGAAAGAGAGGAGGCGGTGGGGCTTGAGCAGTCAAGACGGGGATGATAACAGAGAGGTCGATACCAGCTGGAGTTTAGCTGAAGTCAGAGCTCGCTAGCTCGGCTGGACGGTGCCCTGGAAGCTACTACAGCCCGACGACGCCATGTTGCCCGGAAATACCGACCGTTACAATCGATCAAACCGTTACAGAGCAATTTAATACTTTTTAAAATAGGCCAGTCATCAACTGTTGCGTTATTTCCACCAGTCACGGCATATCCATATCCTTCCCCTCCCCCTTCCCCCTCCCCACCAAACCCCCCCCTCCACCTCCCATCCTCCCCTCCCCCCAACCGCCGCCGCCCCCTCCCCACCGACACCTGGCTCTCCTCTCCAGCAACTCGGCATTCTCCTCTCATTGCTCTCATCCTCTTCATTGTCGTACAGTCACCACCCCTTGCTTGTCTTGCGTTGCTCCCTATCTTACTTGTAGGCTCTTGGTTCCTTGCTATAACGCTGCTCTTCCTGCCTCACACTTGCCCTTGTTTATTTCCCCTTCTTGTTCCTGTAAAAGCGCCTCCTCTTCCCTCCTTTCTTCTCGCGTAACATGAAAGCTGCTGCCTTTCTCTTCTCCTCCCCTGCTCCACTTGTTTGTATTTCTCTTTTGCACCTCATGCATTAGATTCATTGCTCTGCTGGGCACCTCACATCAACATAGCTGTGCAATCACTCATCCTGCCCTTGAGCATGAGCGAGTCACAGTGCCTGTCTCTGAGATAGCGCCGATACTGAGGATTTCTCTGAGATCTTTTCATGGCTTAAGTTGACATCCTTGTGACAGGAACATCCACCAGTCGGCAGCCTTCGCACTCCTGCCGCCACTCCTTACAGCATGTTTCACTCCCAGCTCACCAACACGGTCGTTGGTACCTTAGCCGTCTGCCTGTCCGTGCGCACTGCCTACCAGATAACCGTCTCCCTCCTCCCCCGGCCCGGAGTGCACAAGGAGTATTTCAGCGCTTTGATCCGCCTTGTCAGCAGCTGTGCTCCCATCTGGGTCCATGAGGTGGCGCTGCGGTACGGGAGCGTCTTCGACATCTGGCTGCCCCTGGCCCGCAAGGTGGTGGTCGTGACCGAGTACAAGGCGGCTAGGGAGATCCTGGAGCACGACTTGGAGAAGGCGCAGTCCTACAAGTTCCTTCAGAGGTTGACTGATGGGGAGCCGACCATCCTGACCAAGAGCAGTGACGGGGAGGGCCCCAGGGATGGGTGGAAGTGGACGAGGAAAGGGTGCGCTGGAGCGTTCTCCTCCCTAAACATCAGCAAGACGATGGACAAGGTGAACTCACACGTGGAGAAGCTGTTTACCGTGCTGGATGAACATAGCAGGAGCGGGGCTTCTTTCGCCGCCGACGTTCTCATGCTGCGATTCTTCATCGATCTGATTGCAGACGCAGCGTTCAAGGGCTTCCAGATGAACACTATGACGATGGGCGATGAGTCGGAGGGTATGCAGTTCCTGCAGAACATCGAGATCTGCCTCAAGGAATATGCTCTCAAGCAGCCTATCATCCCGTTCCGCTCGTGGATGCTCTTCCTGCCTGCTGTGGCGCGTGCAAGAAGCGCGTCCAAGGAGCTCATGAAGCAGGCGCAGCGTGTGCTCGATTTCTACCGCTCCCGGCAATCGGACGACGACTCCTCGCTCATCAGCTTCCTGAATCGAAACCAATACCCCGACGATAGGGCAATCTGCGCCGACATTGTCACCTTCATGGTCGCCGGGCATGACACGTCAGCGTACACTCTCTCCTGGATCCTCTACGAGCTCAGCGCAAACCTTGACGTCCAGAGTAAACTCCGCAAAGATCTGGAGCTCCACGGGCCCGACTCCAAGTACCTCGGCTACGTCATCCAGGAGGGAATGCGTTTATGGCCTGTGGCAGCACAGGGGTCAATCCGCCAACTCCAGCACGATGTAGAGCTTGAGGATGGTAAGATCATTCCAAGGGGGGAGACGTGCCTAGTGCCGTTCTTCGCGATTTTCAGGTCTGCATGGATCGACCGAGCAGACGAGTTCATCCCCGAGAGGTGGAGCGAGGAAGGGTCGCAAAGGAAGAAGCTGGAGGAGGCGGTGTTTCCCTTCTCCGTGGGCTCTAGGAACTGTGTTGGGCAGCGGCTAGCTTCCATGCAGATCAGGAAAATCCTTCATCAGCTCATTCTGCGGTACGAGTTCGTGCTTGGCAAGAGGCCTCGGCCAGAATATTTCCTTACGCTCAAACCTGTGGAGGGGAGCGTTCAGGTACGACGGATCTGAGGACGTGCGGGGAAGTCCACTGAAAGGCTGCAATTCATTACTCACAAGTTTTTTATCATTGATTCATTCAATTTCATTTTTCAAGTGCCTTCACAGTTTGTGATTGATGCAAATCCCATTGTTTAAAAGCTTTTCCTTTAGGATTAAAAGTAGATTCACTGATTCGTCACTCGAAGCACAAGTGAAGGAAAATTGAGCACCGACCTATCGATGCGATCCATATCAGGCTGAAAGGATTACTAAGTTGGCAGAGAAGCTGTGTTCGTGATGATAACAGGCTGATTAAAATCTGGATGCGGCATGGAAAGAATCCGCTCCCGATCATTCCTCCTCCTCCCCCCCCTCCCTCTCCTTCCCCTCGAACAAGTAAAGCTCTATCTCCTCCGCGCTCAGAATATCTCCAGTAGATCTGAAGACGAAGATGTCTTTAGCCAGCATCGCCTGATCCAAAGTTCGTTTGTAGTGGTACAGGCGGGACTGACTGGTCATGGACTCCCGGTTCAGCCCCCTCTGCATCAAAATGTTGCCAAAAATCTTGATCATGTCTCCGACCGTCATGGTGTTTTGTCCGTTATCCCCTGGCTCTGTACCCAACGGAAGGAACGCGCTGAAGCGGTCCAGCAATGATCTCTCCGTGTTGCTGTAGCATAGGACGTTGATCAAGACTCCATCTCCCAGACCTATTCGTCGAGGGCGAGCTCGGATGACAGCTGGAATGGACACTGATGCGTCTGCCTCCAGCGCTTCTGCCGGATCCTTCTTCACCTCTCTGCCATTCAAAGAAATCTCCACTCCCACTTTGACAAACCCGTCCTTGCAATACTCTTCTTCCTCGCACAGCATCTTCAGCTGCCTCACCTTCTCCTTCAGCAACCGAACCACCTCTGCCGAAGGAGCTTCCTTCTTCAATCTAGCGATGTCCTCTTCAATCGACTTGCGCCTGCCCTCCAACCTTCTCCACTGCACTTCGTCTCCGTTGAGCAGGTACCACGTGCAAACTTGTTCCATCTCCTTGTACATTGAGTCTGAGATGGGATTATGCCGATCGAAGTGATCAAAGTCGCTCATGGTGATCAGCTGCAAACTGCTCAGCCCCTGCACTGCCCCACACGCCTCCGCTTACCTTCCCGTCCAGCCCATAGCACAACAGACGCGCCTTTGTTTCTATGTGCGTATCTCCCGCCCTGCCTTTCCCCTCCTCTTCCGCCCTTCCGCTCCCCTCCCCTCCCCCCCTGCTGATCCACAGGGGATCCAACTTGAAGCCGCCGACGCTGAGCATGGCGCCTTGAAATAACGGATGCCAGTGCTCTGAGGCGAGGTTGATTATGACCAGCCATCTCCCAGCATATCCTAGGGACACACAGGACCTGTCAAGGTCAAGGGAGCAGCTATATCAACTTCACAGAGAGCGTTGGATGGGAATCGAAGACCTAGTCATGTCAAGCCTATGACTCTTTCTCAGGAAGCCTTCTTGCTATGAGACTAGGACTCGGACCGGTCGGAGGATCATATCGCAGATACGAAGCGTAGAGTACCGGTAGTGGTAGTTCCTAGGACCAGGCAGTCCCTCTTTAAGGGACCGACGAAGAGGAAGACGGGCCGCTCACACGTAGGACAGGGAAAGGAGAACGAGGTGTACGGTGTCTGTGAGACTGGATTGCTTGAAGTAAACAAGCTTGAACATCTGTACCAATCTCTTATCAACGTCATCTGGGAATTTCAACAATGGATCGGGAACAAGCAAGATCTGAGCAATCAACGAGCAGTGGGAATAATGGAAAGATATCTGTTGATATGCAGAATAGGCTAATGTTTGGTCCAAATTGGCAGACAATGTCTGAGGAGGAGAAGGATAAGATCTTTCAAGAGTCGCTTAAATTTAAGTGTTTGGATTGATTATTGTTTTATAAACACGATATCATAGCCAGAATATCTCTCAGCATACTTCTTCTTAATCTCTTCTATTTTGTATTCCATATCGGGGTCTATCTCTGATAAGGATAGCACCTGAATGTTGTTTTCTCTCAGGATTTCGAGAGCCGTCTCACTAGAGTATGCCTTCTTCAATGTGTCTGGATTGAGTAACATGCTTCTATGATGCTCGAGAAAGAATGTGATGATCAGAGAAAAGAAGTCTTCTCGCAAGCGATCAGATTTGACCACAGTAAAGTTTGTTTTTCATTTAACAACACTGAGACGGTCTCACGTGTAAACGTGTTTTGAACACACACAGACAAGAGACAACAAACATAAGGTATGTTATGAAGAATCCTGCCATTGCGGATCGCCCGTTCCTATGCGATTCATTCTTTCCTACTGAAAACCACCGGGAGCATCGCATGCTTGATTGGGCGGCCTACGAAATGTTACACGCAATCGGGGGAACGAAATGTTGACAACCTGGCGCTACATCTTTTATCCACGCGGAGTACCCCTGAGACGCATCAGCTGGCTAAGAGACAGTAGGAGGAGGAGGATGGACCTCCAAATCCTCGTCGTCGGGATTTCTCCTCAGCCCCTTCTTTGGAATCCTCTTGGCACCTGCAATGTCTTAACATCTGTGTCGTTGCTGCGGGGCTGCGCTTTACCTGTCTTGACGTATGCGATGGTGAAGGCGATCCTTGTGTCCTCGGAGAGGTTTGGAGGAGCGGCATGGAGTACCTGAAGGTAGGTTGTTCACCAAACACAACACGGTCATCCCTCCATGATTCGTTCACCCAGCCATGATGAGCCGTCGCATCCCCTGCAGTCTGACTTTCAGGACAAGTTGATATCCGAGACAAGAGGGACGGACCAGGAGCCAGAGGAGCGTGGGAGGCAACAGGATAGTCCCTGTCCTCAAGGTTCATCATGCCTTCGTTGGAGTACCAGTAAGGCAGCGCAAAGTCCCTGTGGGAGCCTGTTGACCCCGAGTCAAGACGTTGAGGCCGTTGCAATGCAACTACCGGAGGCAAACTCTAAGGGAGAGTCGTCGAGGTCCTTGACGGGCGTGACAGAAATCCTGCAATGGGTGTCAACTGTGTCAAGAGGTCGGAGGGGAACTCAACCAGAAGGTGAGCATGTCGTTTGTGTCGAAAGGTGACGTGTTGAGATCACTTTGACAGCCATGTCAACGATTGACTGCTCAGCTATGGCTCACCTGTGCCAGGCAGTCTCGCCGTGTCCTGGCTCCTTTATGAACGCGCACGTCTGCCAAAGAACATTCACACGATACAGACATGAGGAAGAGGCTGCTTTGCCTGGTACAACATGACGGAGTCCACTCCAAGAAGATCAGCAGCGAGCTTGCCGATCCCCTAGATGGCAGACGTGTCAGAGCAAGCAAACGATTGCTATGGTAGAGCAACCTTGTTGAGGCAGATCTTATTCAGCAGGGAAGCGTATGGTCTGTCATCCTAAGACTTGGTTATTCCACAGCATCTCCCTCAAGTCAGCTGGCACACTCGGTGGGGATTGAAAAGCTGCCAGAAGGGAATTTCGAAACCTTCATCTTCGCAGAGGTCTTGCAAGAGCCCGTATGCCTGTCACATTTAACCTCAACATCACATGTGATGTAACATCACATGTGAAGTAACATCACTACCTCATCCGGATCGTTGATCTTTTTGATTGTCTTCTCGTCAACCCCAAAGACCCTCAGCTTCTGCACAAACGCCTGGCAGACAGTATCAAGAGCTGCTGACGATAAGCGATGCCTCACTGCTCTTTCACCTCTAGCCTCTTGTCGTAGAACGCATCCTCCAGGGTATCATAGAGATCAGTCGCCGACACTCCTGGCGACTCTGGTCAATCAAGTCTTGAACATGTAGTCAGCATAAGATGCCTGCAATGCTCAACATGTCTGGGAGGAAAAGGTGCCCGTTCCTTGAAAACTCCAACAGCTCTGCGGTCCCAATCTAGAAAGAGCTGTTCACTGGCACGGCTCCTGCCCATACCAACGCTACCGAAGAAGCATCCGGCGCAACTGATGAAGCCTTACATGGAGGTAAGAATGCAATTTTAAGCACAAGGCAGGTCCTCGCCTTTTTCTTTGTCTTGCTTCCTGCTTGCTTTTCAGATTTCTTCGAGGTTGGCTCAGCAGATATTTCATCGTCTTTTCTGTTTAGCTTTACACCAGCAAGATCAGGAGCCTTCACAGCACTCGAATCCATCTTACATCATCTGCAAACTGCTTCAAAATCATCGCTCCTTGTTCCGGCGAGAGCAAACTCTCCTGATCGAAAGCTTTAGCCATTGGGCATGTCGTGCATCAAATCACTGTTCTCTTGGAACTCTTCTGGCCAACATCGTTGCTATTCATCTTTATCTTCGACAGAGACCTTCGCGCACAGACAGAACGACGGCGCAACGAGTTGGCCATGGAACATGATCTGGGTGTTTGCAACCAATCAAATACCGCAAATATGAATGGCGGGTTTCACAAAACAACCTGTCGGCTCCTGATCTCAAATCAGATGACGAAAGCAGAAGAGGAAAACAAACCTGGGCTGCAGTATCCAGGTGCTAAGAAGCAGGTCTTGTACGTCACCGGGTTCTCGCTTAGGTGATTGAGGCAGGCATTGTTGAGGCCAGTCGCAACTGATAGCACAGCAATGCCCAACAACGTCTGGAGACAAGATGTCAATATGAAGGCAGCAAATATGCATGGTGTGGTATCCTATGGATAATTTGTCTATTTCTCCTGTCTCTACACTCCACTGCACAGCCCAGAACCCACATCCAGATTGATTCTGTTCAATATGTTTCCCATCATGTTCACTCCCGCTTGACCTTCGATCTTGTGTCCTTCATGCTTCAATGTCTTCAGATGACTGAATCTCTGCCTAAAATCACTTCTCTTCATCTCAATTCTCATCTCCTGCAAACCACTCATCCTTTCTAGCTCGCACTGCCGTCCTAGGACCTGCCTACCTGTGTCCATGCTTGTCTACCTCTTTGTCAACTCCTTCATTCCTTCTCTACTTTCTTCTTCTCTCGCCTCATCTACTCCTTCACTCTCCCTCTCTTCCCTTCTCCACTACTTCTCCCTCCCTCCCTCCCTCCCTCCCTCCCTCCCTCCCTCCCTCCCTCCCTCCCTCCCTCCCTCCCTCACCCTCTTTCGCCGCATTTCCTCACCTTTCCTCGCATTTCCTCAGAACGGGGGCCGAACTCACTGACGCTCTGCAAGCCCGCCTCGGTACCCTGTTTCAACGGTCGGGCGTAACGTTCCATTGTCAAATGTCGCTATGGCGCGGCGGTGCAAGGGAGGAGGCGGAGGAGGATGAGGAGGAAGGGGAGGCGAAATTTCTTGAGCTTCCTGATTTTTTGAATCCTCTCTCTCAGCTGAGCCTGCTGAACCTCGTGACCGGTCCTGACTCGGGGGGAGATGGGCCCGATGACGAGTCACAAGCAGAACCCAACGAGGATGGCGGGGGAGGTTTGGCTCCCGGGAAATCCACGTCGAAGCAGCTGGACTATTACTGGACGAGGAGGATGGAGGCTGTCATTGCAGCAGAGAAGATGGTGGAGGCTGCGAAGGCAAAGGCGCTGGAGATAGACAGAAAGACAGACGACATCGAATCCAAGATCAGGACAAAGCTCATGACGGCAAAGTCCGAGGTCACGAGAATCGTGTCTGCCCAACGCTTCCGCTCCTTGAAGTGGAGCCACTCAGTCAACCAGGACAAGGATGATCTGGAGCAGACAATGCTCTACTTCCATGAGAAGCTCGACGCCTTCGAGGTCAGGCTCGCGTTCGGCCGCCCTTCGGCTCCAAAGATAGATTTCGGGGTTGAGTTCGACGAGACTTTCCGCCGCAAGGTCATCAAGCGAAGGCGGAGGAGCAGCGTGGTATCCATGGAGGACTTTGGAAGGATGCAGGACTCCAAGGCTCTGGTGGAGGACTACGACTCTCCTGGAGGGTCAGACTCTGATCAAGAAGGAGACAGGAAGCAAGGGTCAAACAACGTGACTGTCTCCAGGAAGACGATTGTACAGGAGCTCGGCAATGTCTCAACGCCGGAGGAGGCAGAAGCTCGACTGAAGCTGATCAGGAGAGAGCTCGAGACCCGTCTGCACGAATACTCCAACGCTGCTGGGTTGTTGGAGAAGACAAATCGTCATCACGGTAAGGACGAGCATCGTGGATGGGATCGAGCGCTTGCTGAATCTTGTCCTTCCAGCGATCATGAAGAAATGTGCGAACAAGAGGATAATGATTCAGAGACAGATCATGAAGGTGAGGAGCAGCTGCGGTCGTGAGGGTTCCTGTGACGGTTGTCAGGTCGAAGACATGTTGAAGAAGATCAAAAGACAGCGAATGGTGCACAAGATGAAGACAGTGAAGCCTGCAATGTACGAACAATCCTACGATGATGAAAGCATGCAATGAGCTGCACCACATCACACTCGCGATATTTCCTTCATGCGCAGTTTGCCGAGGACAATGTCCTTGGGCTTGTTTTCTGCTTCTGCTTCTGCCAGCACCTGTTTGATAACAATTTCTGCCTCGACCTTCTTGTCCAGGACGAAATATCTGCGATCATGCGCTGCTCCAATGATCTTCTGGGCAGCCATCCTTGCCTTCTCCATCACCTCTGCATGCGATTTCGCAGCAACCACCTCGATCTGAGAAGGCTTGCAGCTCGCAAGCATCTCCTTGAGTTCGTGCGTGTCCCCTTGAAATGAGCTCTTTCTGAGAGGATCCTTTCTTCGGGGATCCTCTGTCCCATCTCTTGTCTTAGCCTCCTTCTGCTGCCTCCTTCCTAGAGTGAGCGTCCCCTCTCCCTCGCTGTCATCCCCCCGTTTGAAGAAGTCGAAAACGTCCGGCCACTCGCTCCCTCCGTTGAATGGCAGGTTCATCTCACAGCCTGCCGGTACCTTCACAAGATAATGATCAGGGGAAAGAAACGAGCCGGAGCAGCTGGAGCTTGAGCTACAAGGTGACACCTTGCCTCTGAGGTGCCCTGGCAGCATGACAGGTTGAACTTTATGTAATTTGTGGTTGTGCTCGCATCATATCACATAGCACTGCTCCTAACATCTTCACCCCTCCCCTCTCTCCTCACTCCATAACTATCGTCCTTTCTCTCTAGTCATCAGTTATCATGTTTCACATCTCTCCATCCTCCGTCTTGATAGTTTCGACCGCCTGGCTGCACCTTGTCGTGAGCTCTTCCTTCCCTTTTCCTGATGTCTCCCGATCTTTGCTTTAAGACTACACGACTCCTTATTGTTCTTTCTCTCCCTCCCCTCTCTCCTCCTTCTCCTCCTTCTCCTCCTCCTTCCCCTCCATTCTCAAGGGTCATCAAAAGGGACTTGACAACTCTAACGGCTCATCACACTCTAGTCAATGTTTTTGGGTGTTTTGAAAACTTTTTAGCCTCAGTTAGTTTTTCGGTTTGCCTTTCCTTTTCCAGTCAATAAAACGGAAAGTTTCAAGTTTAGAGACCGTACGGTACGGCCTGGGGCACTGCACTCAGCCAGCATTGCGCTATAGTGACCGAATGGCTCCGAGTGGCCTGACGGGCTCGGGTCGGACTCCCGCAAATTCGGCCCGTGTGTCTCATGAGGTACTATGATACATGCACGCATGAATGATGGTGCCGCACCGTCACCTACCGGGCCGGCCTGCCGAAGCCCGGCGGCCGCCCGGCAGATCGTCATTTCCCAAAGCCTCGAACTCCGACCTTTCCCACTGCCCTCGACCGTACCATTCGACGTCCGAGGCTCCTCAGGCTCCTCCGAGCCTCCTCCTCCTGCGAGATCTCTCTAGCTTCTCATCGGTGCCTGCGGCCGCTGCCTTGCCGACCCTCGGTCCTCCAGGTCACGGTCAGCCGCGCGGGGCCTTGACCCTGAGCCAGTGCCGAAGGGACTTCACAACAGGAGGGACGAGCCAGAAGCTGTTGTCGGCCTTCCTTCCTACGAGAGAGGAGCCGGACGGGAGCTGGTTGACATCAAACCATCGGATCTCCGAGATCTCGTTCTTGGTAGTGCAGCACAGAGGCGTGTCTTCCGACACAGGGCGGATGATGAAGAGGCGGAGGACGCTCCTGGTAGTGATGCCGTTGGTGTCCTTGTGCTGCAGCTTGAGGGAGATGGAGTCGGTCTCGTTGAGGAGGGAGGAGATGTCAAGTCCAACCTCCTCCTGTACCTCCCTGATGGCACACGTAGCGTCACTCTCCCAGTGCTCGACCTTCCCCTTGGGCCACCCGAAGGCTGACGACTTGAACCCCCGCACCAGGACGCACTTGTCGCAGGAAGGGTTCAGGATGATAGCACCGCAGGAGCGCGTGCCAGCCTTGACGCGGCTGAAGTGCTTGAGGAGCGTGCCGATGTCCTCCATCTTGGAGAGAGGTGCGAGCATGGGGATGCGCAGGAAGACGTGCTTAGCAAAGGAGGCGAAGCGCAGGGAGGGCAGCCTTGGGTTGTCCTTGCGATGCTGGTCGAGATACTCCCAGTGGGCCCTCTCGATGCGGAAGAGGAAGTCTGTGACCTGCCGGAGGATCCTCAGTTTCTTCGCCTTGTCCGTCTCTTGCATCTGCTTCCCCCTCCTCCCCTTCCGCTGTGACTCCAGCCGTAGGTTCTTCAGCTGGAACTTGCGGATCAGCTTCTCGAGGCAGGCAGCAAAGTCTGGTCTCTTCAGCAGTTGATCCCCCGACAACTCAGCCGCTGGCTTCGATCTTTTTCCACCAGAACGACGAGGAGAAGAGATTGCCTCCTGGGCATCAGTAGATTGACCTGGCCGTGACTGGAATACAGCTCCTGTCATTAGCGGAATCTCTTCTCCTGCTCCTCCTCCTGCTCCTCCTGCTCCTCCTCCTGCTCCTCCTGCTCCTCCTCCTCCCTCGAAGTTCAGCATCTCCTCCCTCCCCATCTCGTGCAAGTGCGGATGATCGACGAAGTCATAGCTGCAGTGTGCGTAGGAGAAATCCTGGGGGCTCTGGAACAGATCGTCCAACTGTACTTCAATCCACTCGCTCCGTCCTCCTCCCTCCCTTCCCTCGCCTCCAGTCCACTGTCCGTCTTCCTGCAAGGCTAGAGGCTCCCTGCCAAACTCCTCCTGCCCGTCGTTGTTCCCCTGAAAGAGCCCGCTGCTGCCGTCTTCGGAGTCCGAGTCCCTGCTGGGCATGTCGAAGAGTTCATGATTGCTCCCTACTGCCTCGTCCGCCTTGTCCTCGCAGCTCAGCTGGTCCGTCTCTGTCTCCTTCACCGACAAAGTTTGCGATTCGCCTAGCTCAAATTTGTCTCCTTCCTCCCCATCTTTCTGCTCCTCTTGCTCCCCTTCACCTTCCTCCCCTTCCTCCCCTCCATCCCCATCGCCCTCTGCCTCCTCCCCTTCCATGGTTAGGCGAGCAAGGAGGTCGAGACTGTTCATGCCTGTATGCAATCATCAAATTGAGACTTGTACTGCGTTGAGACATCACCTCCAAACTTCTTCTCTTCCAACACTTCTCGCTGGCCTCCCAAGTACTCCTTGACGCATGTCATGGATAGGCAGCACCTTGCAAGGGCCCCTTGCTGCCCTCCTGCTTCAGCGATTTCCTGCAAAAGTTCGTGCACTTCGCAAGTGACAACCGAGGATGTCGAGGCGTTCAACACTGCAGACATCAGCACAACGTGCTGGAATCTCTCTTCTTCTGTCTTTGAGCTGCGGTACAGCTCGACGATGATAGACGAGGTCTCGTCATGAAAGTCAAAGAACACGTCGTCATGAAGCATGTGGATTTCGTACAGAAGTCTTGCTGCGCAATTCAACGTCTCTCTATCATGTCTGCTGCTACTCAGGATTCCTTCAAAGGCCCTGGAGAATTTCTGAATGTCACTTGTGGCTGTGAACTGCAGATCATCTTTTAGCAGCAGCAACACGTCGAGGACACGTGGGATCAGTCTCGTCTCCTCGGTATCCTTGGAAGTCGCTCTAAAAACAGCTCCAAGGCCCATGGATCCAAGGAAGGTTCTTCTTGAGGGTGGGCTGTTCTCGAAGATGATTCTCAGCGTGTCGAGACCAACTGCAATGACCTCGGGCCTGTCAGCGTGAGAGCTCAAAACTCTGTCTATCAGGTCCATCAGACCATTCTCAACAAACGTGTCCACGTTGTTCTGATTCTGGAAGATGTTCTTCAGAGCAAGGAAGCTTCGTTCCATTATCCATGCACTCTTGACGTGCTTAGACATGGTTTCCAGCCAATTCACCGCGATGGAGCTGTTGATTGCGGCAACGGTGGAGTGTGACGTTTTCTTGGATTCTCTCACAAGTGGTTTGGAGAAAAACTCAGATATCAAGTTCTGGATTTGAAACAAAAAATCATACGGGTATGAAATTCACCAGAGCTGCGGAATATTTCCAAGAGAACAAAGGGAACGAAAGGAGAAGGTGACATGAGAGAAAAGTGAGAGATATAAGGAAGTAGAAAGGATACGAACGAGCATGAGAAGCAGGGGAAACAGGGGCAGCAAGCATGAGGAGGAATTCTTACCCTTCCCAGCTCGTCCTCGTTCAACTCTGCGTTGACATACCCTGGTGTCTTCGCTCTGCTCAGAGTCTCGTTGTGTCCATCATCACTCCGATTCACTGCCAGACGCACTGCCCCAGCCCCCAGCTCCTCCTGCTGTGTGTTGGCTGCCTGCTGCTCGCGCAGCTGTCTCATTCGGAGGAGGGCAACCGATCTAGGCAGGAGGAGGAAGTTGTTGCCTCCCGCTGACCCCTTGACACCTCCCCTGAGCGGGAATGCTGCCTTGTAGATATGGATGCGGTGCTCTTGTCCGATGTCACTTGTGCAGTACAGCAAGCATCCCAGCAGCAGGACTGAAGTGAAGATCGTCGACATCTTCTTTCGCTGAAGGATCACACCAGGTGCAGGAGGGCGGTCGAAGACATTTCGGATGTCCCAGCCTTCTCAACTCATCGCTTGCTCGCCACATCGGAGATTATCTTGGCTGCCATCGAGATAGATCAGATGAAACAGGGCAGGAGAAACAACTGAGATTCTTTTTTGGATCAAGTGAGGAGGATGAGCAGAAGTTGTTCGTCAGAAGAGAGAGGAGACACAAAACTTCGATGCCAAGGTTTGCAATAACAATGGCAAGGGTGTGGATGATGATGATCACTAGGACGATGATGATCACTAGGATGGCGATGGCTTCAGCGTCTGCCGCGTCGTGGGCTGCTTACCTTCCCCCTCCGCTGTTGTATCGCTCCATATGCCAGCGGACGTTCCTCACCCAAGGCGTGAGTTCCACTCAAGAGTTCCGGGCCAGGCGCCACGCCGGCGTGCCCGGCTCCGACCGGATCCTCGGGCCGCCGGGCGGCGGGCCCGGCGCCTCAGCCAGGCCCAGCGGCCGCGGCCGCTCGGACGGCCGCCCGCCGGCATGGCATGATACTACGAGGCTCGGTCCCTCCGGAGGGAGGGCCGCATGGCGTCCTGAAAACTGTGCCAGTTGTCAACCGCTGCAGGCTGCGTGCAGTGTGCGGCCGCTGGCAACTGATCCGGCGACCCCGGAGTCTGCCACCCCTCAGCCGGGCCGGGCATCAAAACCTCTCCTCCGAGGCTCCGGCCTTCCGGTAAGTTCGCGGATGACGGGGCGCAGTGAGAGGTCGGACTCCGATCAAAATGATCCAAATCCTCCCTCCCCATCCAAACCTCTCCTCTTCGCCGCGATAACACGGGCCGTTGCAACCCATCGAAACCTCTGCCCGGGCCCCCTACCAAAACCGTCACGGTTGAAACGGTTTCAGTCGTCGGGAGATCAGATCTCAGATCTATAGAGGCTCGCCGAGTCCGTGAGCCTCAAACCCACTGGCCCATTATTCCGGTCTTTACTCAAAGTTAAGTTAAAGATGAGTACGAGGACAATCAGGAGAGTCGAGGAGGCTTGACCCTGACACTGCCCATTATTACTATTGGATCATCCGATGGTGGGGATGAGTTATTGCCTGAAAAGGGTGAGTACACACCCTGCCTCCACGTATTCCCCTACCCTACCCCCCCTCCTCAAGGATTCTTGCACTAGCAACCACGGGTCCCAGGGGTGAGTTTTGGCATCATGGGCCTAAACGAAGAGGAGTAGTTTCACTGGGACTCATCGATGAAGCTCTTTACCATCACCCGAACCTCCGACCTCGCACTGAACCCTCCTGTCCGCCCACGCGCCATGGCCGCCTCTTCCCTAGTCCTGGTCTCCCCACGTCCCCGTGACTCCCCCTTCCCCTCCTCCTCCTTCGCCAAGGTCCACGTCTCCCTCTCCACGCTCGAGCCCCTCTTCCACCTGCCCCAGGAGTCTGCCGCAAGGCGCCTGGTAAGTTCTTCTTCGCCTTGGCCCCGCTACCTTCCCAACGCTTCTCATCTCCCATCGCCAGGGCCTCCTGCTGACCCCGGTGTCCCAGGGCGTCTCGCTCACCAGCCTCAAGGCCGCCTGCCGCAAGATCGGCATCAAGCGCTGGCCCTACCGCCGCTGGCCGGAAGCTGGCCTAGAGGATGACCTAGGAGCCCCTGCGCCATCTCTGACCGCAGCCTCATCATGGAGGCTGCAGTACCGTCTCCCCCCGTGCCGGACGAGACGACTACTACTGAAAGTACCCATGACCTCACCGAGACCGAGCCGAGAAGCACTCCATCCGAGGCACAACCTCCTGCGCCTGTAGCAGAGAGGGATGACGGATGGCTGGCTAGCGTGAACGAGCTGGGGGAGGACCAAGAGTGGTTGTCATGGTACATGGACTGCGACGCCAGTACCGTCTGAAGGCCGATGAGGCCCAAGACGACATGCAGCTGTTTGTACTGTTATGTCTCATTGCACTAGAGCGCGTGATAAGAGTGTATGTTCAACGATTGATAGAAGAAGCTCAACACACTGCTGGGTCTCTAGCCCTGACGTCGTAAGGATCAGGAGACGAGATGCATGCCCTTGACCCGACGGGAGAAGAAGGCCCGGCATGATTGCTCCTGTTGCGCCTTCCAACCCAACGGCAGGACTGAGGTTGAATGACTGCAAGGGGATCGGATCAAGCACAGCCATGTGCAAGGTAGAGGGGAAGGAAGGAAATGGTATCCGAGAAGCTCATTCATACCTCATGGGGTGCGACTGGGAGCAGCCATTCATGGATGTCGGGATAGTGGATACCTCCAGGCCTCCATCCATGCTACCCTACACCATTCCAGTAGGGTACAAGATCGAGGTGGTGAGAACCAGCAGCCCAAGCAGGTTACCCAACAGGACGACAGAAGACCTCATTCTTGAGCATGACTGCACAGGCGACAATCGCGGCGAGTACACGTATGTCAGAGATGCTGAGCTTGGAGGATCTCAACATGGAGTCGGATGGAGATGCTCTCTGATCTGCTTCCGGGTGCCGCCTGCGCCGCCCCCCTCCCTAGGAGAGCTCCATTTTGTAGCATCTTGCACAGACACTGCAGCAACGGTATTCGTCTCTTTCCTTAGCTCCCAACACAGGCCGTTGATTACCATCTTCTTGACATCAACATCCAACGCCCCAATACTTGCACCAACCTCCGATTTCGCCAACCGCATTCTTTGTCACCATGCTCGTGTATAGTTTGCCTATTTGCTTGCGTCGAAGAGATGAAGAGGAAATGCATGCATTGATCCGGATCTCGAACAAAGTATTCAACAGCACCGTGGCACAGAGTCGCACTGGCCGGCGAGCCCGGGGCGCACTGCCGAAGCCTGCAAGGCTTAGTGTGGCGCCGGACAGGCCAGGCCCCCATCCGGCGGCCCGGGGCGTAGTCACCCGAGTGACTCGAAGGGATCAAGGTCATTCAAATCCTCCCACCCCTTGCAAACCTCTCCTCTTCACATAGCACTTGCAAGCACTTGCAAGTCTTGAAGCCCATCCAAACCTCTCCTCTTCGCATAACACTTGCAAGCCTTGACTCTATCAACCCCATCCAAACCTCTCCTCTTCGCACAACACTTGCAAGCACTTGCAACCCCATCCAAACCTCTCCTCTTCGCATGACGTATGAATCAAAGCAAATGGTTTCGTCGGGAGATCTATAGAGGCTCGATATCATCACGGGCCCGTAGTACTAAGGGGCCGGGTGGTGGGGCTGAGTTTTATCCTGAAAAAGGTAAGTATTCACCCTGCCTCCACGTATTCCCCTACCCTACCCCCCCTCCTCAAGGATTCTTGCACTAGCAACCACGGGTCCCAGGGGTGAGTTTTTGCATCCTAAACGAAGAGGAGTAGTTTCACTGGGACTCATCGATGAAGCTCTTTACCATCACCCGAACCTCGCACTGAACCCTCCTGTCCGCCCACGCGCCATGGCCGCCTCTTCCCTAGTCCTGGTCTCCCCACGTCCCCGCGACTCCCCCTTCCCCTTCTCCTCCTTCGCCAAGGTCCACGTCTCCCTCTCCACGCTCGAGCCCCTCTTCCACCTGCCCCAGGAGTCTGCCGCAAGGCGCCTGGTAAGTTCTTCTTCGCCTTGGCCCCGCTACCTTCCCCACCCTTCTCATCTCCCATCGCCAGGGCCTCCTGCTGACCCTGGTGTCCCAGGGCGTCTCGCTCACCAGCCTCAAGGCCGCCTGCCGCAAGATCGGCATCAAGCGCTGGCCCTACCGCCGCTGGCCGGAAGCTGACCTAGAGGATGACCTAGGAGCCCCTGCGCCATCTCTGACCGCAGCCTCATCTACCAACACTCTGGTCATGGAGGCTGCAGTACCGTCTCCCCCCGTGCCGGACGAGACGACTACTACTGAAAGTACCCATGACCTCACCGAGACCGAGCCGAGAAGCTCTCTAGCCGAGGCACAACCTCCTGCGCCTGTAGCAGAGAGGGATGACGGATGGCTGGCTAGCGTGAACGAGCTGGGGGAGGACCAAGAGTGGTTGTCATGGTACATGGACTGCGACGCCAGTACCGTCTGAAGGCCGATGAGGCCCAAGACGACATGCAGCTGTTTGTACTTTTATGTCTCATTGCACTAGAGCGCATGATAAGAGTGTATGTTCAACGATTGATAGAAGAAGCTCAACACACTGCTGGGTCTCTAGCCCTGACGTCGTAAGGATCAGGAGACGAGATGCATGCCCTTGACCCGACGGGAGAAGAAGGCCCGGCATGATTGCTCCTGTTGCGCCTTCCAACCCAACGGCAGGACTGAGGTTGAATGACTGCAAGGGGATCGGATCAAGCACAGCCATGTGCAAGGTAGAGGGGGAGGAAGGAAATGATATCCGAGAAGCTCATTCATACCTCATGGGGTGCGACTGGGAGCAGCCATTCATGGATGTCGGGATAGTGGATACCTCCAGGCCTCCATCCATGCTACCCTACACCATTCCAGTAGGGTACAAGATCGAGGTGGTGAGAACCAGCAGCCCAAGCAGGTTACCCAACAGGACGACAGAAGACCTCATTCTTGAGCATGACTGCACAGGCGACAATCGCGGCGAGTACACGTATGTCAGAGATGCTGAGCTTGGAGGATCTCAACATGGAGTCGGATGGAGATGCTCTCTGATCTGCTTCCGGGTGCCGCCTGCGCCGCCCCCCTCCCTAGGAGAGCTCCATTTTGTAGCATCTTGCACAGACACTGCAGCAACGGTATTCGTCTCTTTCCTTAGCTCCCGACACAGGCCGTTGATTACCATCTTCTTGACATCAACATCCAACGCCCCAATACTTGCACCAACCTCCGATTTCGCCAACCGTATTCTTTGTCACCATGCTCGTGTATAGTTTGCCTATTTGCTTGCGTCGAAGAGATGAAGAGGAAATGCATGCATTGATCCGGATCTCGAACAAAGTATTCAACAGCACAGAGTCGCACTGGCCGGCGAGCCCGGGGCGCACTGCCGAAGCCTGCAAGGCTTAGTGTGGCGCCGGACAGGCCAGGCCCCCATCCGGCGGCCCGGGGCGTAGTCACCCGAGTGACTCGAAGGGATCAAGGTCATTCAAATCCTCCCACCCCTTGCAAACCTCTCCTCTTCACATAGCACTTGCAAGCACTTGCAAGTCTTGAAGCCCATCCAAACCTCTCCTCTTCGCATAACACTTGCAAGCCTTGACTCTATCAACCCCATCCAAACCTCTCCTCTTCGCACAACACTTGCAAGCACTTGCAACCCCATCCAAACCTCTCCTCTTCGCATGACGTATGAATCAAAGCAAATGGTTTCGTCGGGAGATCTATAGAGGCTCGATATCATCACGGGCCCGTAGTACTAAGGGGCCGGGTGGTGGGGCTGAGTTTTATCCTGAAAAAGGTAAGTATTCACCCTGCCTCCACGTATTCCCCTACCCTACCCCCCCTCCTCAAGGATTCTTGCACTAGCAACCACGGGTCCCAGGGGTGAGTTTTTGCATCCTAAACGAAGAGGAGTAGTTTCACTGGGACTCATCGATGAAGCTCTTTACCATCACCCGAACCTCCGACCTCGCACTGAACCCTCCTGTCCGCCCACGCGCCATGGCCGCCTCTTCCCTAGTCCTGGTCTCCCCACGTCCCCGTGACTCCCCCTTCCCCTCCTCCTCCTTCGCCAAGGTCCACGTCTCCCTCTCCACGCTCGAGCCCCTCTTCCACCTGCCCCAGGAGTCTGCCGCAAGGCGCCTGGTAAGTTCTTCTTCGCCTTGGCCCCGCTACCTTCCCCACCCTTCTCATCTCCCATCGCCAGGGCCTCCTGCTGACCCCGGTGTCCCAGGGCGTCTCGCTCACCAGCCTCAAGGCCGCCTGCCGCAAGATCGGCATCAAGCGCTGGCCCTACCGCCGCTGGCCGGAAGCTGGCCTAGAGGATGACCTAGGAGCCCCTGCGCCATCTCTGACCGCAGCCTCATCTAACAACACTCTGGTCATGGAGGCTGCAGTACCGTCTCCCCCCGTGCCGGACGAGACGACTACTACTGAAAGTACCCATGACGGATGGCTGGCTAGCGTGAACGAGCTGGGGGAGGACCAAGAGTGGCTGTCATGGTACATGGACTGCGACGCCAGTGACGTCTCGTAAGGCCGATGGGGCCCAAGACGAC